GGGTTGACCTCAGCATCCCACTCTTAGACCAGATCTTGAGCTGCCCATCTTCCCCAGCTGACACACACACACACAGAGGAAAACAACATCCTTGTAAACAGTCTACTTTGTACACCTGACCAGTGTGCTTGAATTCAGCTTGTACCTATTTTACTTCAATAATGTGAAGTAGTCTAATCAGAAAAAACTAAAGAGTGGGACTTGACCTTATCCATGAGGAACTAGTCTCTGTATGACGGGTTACACATAAGTTCAATCAAACGTTGTTCATGTTATACGACCACAGTTGCTCACTGAATGCACTGTGGCATGACTTTCAATCACGGTTTTGATTAAACTGGTCAAATAAGACTTCATTTATTCATCATTGACCCTGACTGTCTATTATAATATCACTTCCCTTTGAAACCATGTGCATTGTGAAAAGTGTTGTACATATATGACTCGAGTGGGGCTTGAGTCGGTTGAGTGTGTGTGTGTGTGTGTATAGTGCTGAACCTGTGATGAGAGCGGTCCCGTCATGATTCCAGCGTCCAGCGAGAACGGCTCCTCGATGCGCCTCCACACTCTTCTCGATGCGGCCCGATTTAGACACCAGGTGGAGTTTACCTGTCCGACACAACAGCACACACACCCTCTGATCAGTGACCAAACTCTGCTTAATAGTGCTGTAAAGGCCCATCATTCAACTATAATGATAACTGTGTGGACATTCTGATTGGCTGATCCAATGATATTGTGTCGTTATCATTGCAGCTGTGGTGTGGACATCCCTATTCTCACTAGAGCCAGACCGATATATCGGCAGACCGATATTATCGGCCGATATTAGGCATTTTCCAAACTATCGGTATCGGCAGTTATAATGGCCGATAAATGAATATTTCAAAAATAAAATTAAAATGGACGAAACACGCTTGAACCATGTCATGAGTGTTGGAGTTGTATAGTTTGTCCACCAGAGGGCGCTCTACACCGTTCCTGTTGGCAACACTCGTTGAGTTGGTCACGATACATACATTGCTTGAATAAATATTAAAAGATCATCCCCATCAGTTCTCTTAACTCAAATAAGCATGACAAAATTTGTGACTATCATGTCCAGTTTAAAAAAATAAATAAATAAATAAATAAATAAAATATCGGCCGATATATCGGATTTTAAAACCCAAAAATATTTGTATCGGTATCGGCCTTCAAAATCCTTTATCGGTCGGGCTCTAATTCTCACAGAATAATTCAGAAACCTTTATAGCTGTAGTTATCATCCTCGGTGTGAACCTGAACTCAATCAGTTTATCCCTTAAAACTCATCTTTAATCACCAAAATGACATTTTTAAAAGTTTTTTCCTTGAATAAAATCTCTTCATGCCTTATAATATCTTGAATGAACTCGATCATTGAAATTTGCAAATACTGAGTATTACCAATGAATGTGAAATTGGGGAAATCTGTGGGAAATATCAGCTTAACAGTCATGAAAATATTGTTACGCTGTCGTCATAAACACAGACTATTTTCTGGGGTGAAATATGACCTAGAAATTCAGCTGTAGACTTTTTAATCTGGTTGCCAAATTGAGCAAAACTCCCCAAATGTCTCGCAGCGCTGCAGACACACGGCAGTCGGTCGAGGACACTAGCCAGACGTGTACTTAGTGGCGCTGCGAGAGAAGCAGGAGTGCTCTGTGTAATTTGTGGTCGGCTAAAACTGCAAATCAGCATGTTGCTGCCTCCGCTGTGCTATATTTAGGTTAGAGGTGCACCAAATAAGCATTAAATATTGTGCAAATGAGCAGAAATACAGTTTGTCAGCAGCTCTGAACAAAAGCTTTAAAGCCAGTCTTTCAACACCGGCCATTTCCAAGTACCGTATTCCCGTATTTCACCCCAAAGCACAACACAACCTTTCACAGGTCACATATTACACCCCTTTTCACAAGATGTAATATAAAACAATGGTGTTCCCAGAACGAGTCTGTGAAATCCCAGCTCGAAATACCAGATCATTTATTACAGCTTGTCAAATTTGCCCCTTTTTGGGTGTGAGGAAAAACGTTTAGTTTTTTTGTGTGTGTGTCACTTTAAATGCAAATGAGCTTTAGCTCCGCCTCCATCCAGAAGAGGGCGGAGCCTTCACACAAGCTTCAGAGACTCCAGCAATAACAACACAGGCCAGTCTCACTGATCCAGGAGAGCTTCACTTTTCCACGTTTCTGAATAGAGAGACGTTTGTGTAGTTGTTGTGGAGTTGAACTCTTCCACAGTTCCTGAGACAGTGTTTATATGTGACATGTTCTGCTCAATAGTGTTCAGTGTCGTCTGTGCTCCACCACAGAACAGTTTCAGGCTCAGCTGGATCTTCTCCAGTGCGTTAGAACTGGGCTCTCGCCGAACCCAATGCCGCTGGTGTGTGTGTGAACGTGCAGATTAAGGGCCGGAGATATTATAATAAGATCCTCTGAACATCAGGAGGAGTGGAATCTGATCGGCTTTTTGTTTCAAGGCTCACCAGAACACAGTTACTGGGTTTCACTTCACATGTTTTCTGGGTTGGTAGATGCACAGGAGACCCGATCATAGCACTTACACATGGAGAAACTCAGATGTTCATGATATATGTGGATCACAGCTGAGGTTTACCGTCAGTGCTGGTGAGGGCGAAGAGCTCGGCCCCGGCCTGCTTCTTCCCGCTCAGGGTCTTGGGCAGCCAGTGCAGGTCGAGCGGATAGATGTGGTCCTGCAGCTTGACCAGCACGCTGGTGTCGTTGGAGAGCAGGTTCCAGCGCAGGATCTGGTGGTCGTCGCTGCAGGAGTACAGCTCGTCCGCCGAGGTCCACCCCACCCCGCTCACCAGCTCGCGGTGTGCAGCGCTGTTAAGGTCCTGTACACTCATTACACAGAGGACTCAAAGAGCAGCTAATCTGCTGTTCTCCATGGTCATCTTCTTTCTAAAGCCCTTTCAGACAACACGAGTTTAACATGGAGATGGGGAGTCATTATCACCTGAGCTTCTCAGTGATGTTAGTCCCGTCTGAATGTGCATCTCAGTCAACATCACACTCAATATCAGTACAGATTACAGACACTTTCACCTGCTGGAAAAATGACACTAAACACGTGCGAATCAACCCGCTACTGGAAACCCGGACTTGAGTAAAAGTACAAGTGCTCTATCAAAAAAGTGACTTGAGTAGAAGTTGAAGTGCTCTTTAAGCACCACACTTAAGTAGAAGTACTAAAGTATTCAACATTTTTTGTACTTAAGTATTGCAAGTAGTTTATTTTAAAATTCACTACTTAAGTACTAAAAGTAAATGTACAAGTATTGTGTCATGCAATTATTAAAGAAAGCAGTCAAAAGTTTGAACTAGCAATCAAATAAGGCGCTTTGGTGGGATACAAATTTGCTTTGGCGGCCGCCAAAAAAATGTCATTGCAGGACAACCCCTGCATTAGTTGTCAATGTGTGTGTCAATCAATACCATTACCCTATAAAACTGCTGTGTGATTTAGGCAGCACGAAAGCCAACTTGCAACTAATGATTCGTAAAATTTGTATAATTGTAACAAGTAACTAGCAGAACATTAAAAAACTATCGAAGTAAAAGTATTAAATTCATCGAAAATATCTACTGAAGTAAAAGTAGAAGTATGAGAAAAAAACAATACTCTAGTAGAGTACAGATACAGCATTTTAGTACTTAAGTACAGTACTTAAGTAGTTCTACTTTGTTACTATACATCTCTGCCCGCTATAAATATGTACGTAAATATTCCTTCATCTCCTATTTAAAAGTCGTTTACCGTGTTGTATCAGTTGTGTTCCAGGAAGCAGCGTAATACACACATGACGACAGGAGTGACGGCGATGAGTTAATCGAGTTACTGAGAAGTCTTATCCCGAGCGAACTACTCATTATTATTACAGACGTCATGTGGGAAATTACATTACTAATCGCATCCGAATGGGGCTTTAGTGTGTAATGTTATAAGCTTTGCAAAGCTGCAGTTCTCCTCTATATCATATATATATATATATATATATATATATATATATATATGTTTCTGAACTCCTGAAACGCCTCCATTGTAGTGTCGAGTTTCTTCCGGGAACGAACACGTCACAATATTCCTCATTATAATAATTCATGCGCAGAATAAAGGGGCGAGGCCTGGTTGAGTTAATTATGGAAAGAGTGAGGCATTTCCCACTCTCAAAGCACTCAACCAATCAAAACACACTGCTCCAGCCGACCAATCAGAGCACAGTGTGCTTTCAGAAGGAGGGGCTTCATAGAGACAGGAAGTAAACGGAGCGTTACTGACAGACTGGGAAGAGAGGAGCCGCAACAATGGAGAATATGAGGAAAATAATCAACATTCAAGCAGAAAATCTGTTCAAGTAGAGCCTGAAAACTACATCAAGATATATTAGGTGCTCTTTTAAATGGCAAAAAAAAACTGCCCATAGTGAATTTCTCTTTTTGTATGAACAATTTTTGGACAATTGTTTCAAATGTAGTTCAGCAGTTTATTGCGTAACGTTAGTGATACTGAAGCTTGGTCATGAGGCTGTCATCACGTCACATAGACCAGTGTGTGTTACAAACATCATCATCGTCACATCGAAATAAGATGCAAACAGAGGAAATAAGACCACACAGCGTGGTCTTTTCATTATCATGCATTATTACATCATCATGTGAACAGTAAATGTAAAGGATATGTTTGGGGTCCTTCAACAGAGATGTTTTCAACCGCATCCTTCAGCGTCTCTCTGGTGCTTTAAAGGCGATATTGTCCCCTGTTTATAAGAAGAAAAGATGAAAATCCACTCAAATGTGAGGAGTAGCGGTAATGAGACATGTTTGTTCAACGTTACCTGACTGAAGGCGCCGTTGCCACGGAAACGCGTCCGCCACTGCTGTGCTAGCGAGCGAACGTTACCTCTGAATGAAATAGCTTTCAAAACATTAAATGATCTTAAGGCTGTCTATGTTGAGGGAGAACACTTCTGAGTAAACACTAGTCGTATACATAATCTCCCAATCGTCTTCTTTTTGTTTTGTTAGGGTTGTTTCCCCTGCAGAATTCTAGGAAGTGAACAGGCGGTGAAACAACGCTGCCCTACATCTCGCGAGACTTAACTCCACCAACAGTTCAATTCTCACGAGACGTAGCGGTGCAAATGCATAATATTAAATAATTTGTATTTTATTAATCATTCTCAGTTTTTGTGTGTGGGGGGGGGGATTTAATGTATTCATGTAAGATTTGCTAAATTATTTATTGATCAGAGAAAAAAAAACAGTGTGTATGTATTTATTTTTCTTTAACGCTACGGCCTCTTTTTTCTTTTGAAAATTAAATGATACTGTTTTAAATAAATTGCCATTGATTCGACTTTTGCACATGTTCAGTGAGCCCAAAGCCCACTGTTGTCGCTAAAACAAACAAATAACTGCACGGTCACGTGACGGGTTCCCATGAAGCACCGCGCGGGTCACAACGGACTCGGGTTCGCCACATTCAGTTTACGCGCCATTTACGAGTGAGATTTCAGCGATCGGGGAAGTGGACGAGCGAGCACAGGCTTTCCCTCGATTTACTCTCTGGACTCTCAGTACATGCGAATCCGCTTCAGAGGAGCTCAACGCGGACTAAACTAGAGGGACTCAGGCGAACCAGACTGAGGTAAGTCAGATCGCATAACTTACACGCGTTTATCTGCTCACATGATCAATACACTGCTCGATTAATAACAGTCACGGTTTGGGCTCAAACTAGTTTACTTGATCTTACAAAACTGGCTTCTCGATTGCAGCATATTCATGTTTAGCGATTAGGCTAGCCTTAATCTAATTCGTAATATATCTTATTTTTATTTTAAGTATTTACTTCGAGAATGGATGATGTATTGCTCTTTTTAGTGGGTTGTATGTTAGGAAAGCAAACATGTAACGTTAGCACACATGCAGAAAACGAACTCGTTATTCACAAGAGTGCACCGAACACACACACACACACAGTCTGGCTCGACATAAAACCCACTCTCCGCTGTTACAGTGTGTAGTTCGTGTCTCGAGGACCGCCGCGGTGTAGCTGTCAGCGCGCGTGACGTGTGCAGTGTTGTCATGTCGTCATCGGGGTTACCTCTCACACACGGCACTAGTGTGAGGGCAGCTCGCTACACACACACACACACACACACACACACACACACACACAGCTACAGGTCTCGGTCGGGTTTGACACGGCGGGCTCGTGTATTGCCTTCTCAGATGATCATGTCGCTGCTTACCACACACACACACACACACACACACACACACAGACTCGAGCCGCTGTTACTGTGCTCCTCTTCTTCCTCAGGTCATCATGCCTGCGAAGACCAGCAAGAGCTCGACGGCCTCCCGGAGAGCGGCGGAGGCGCGGGACGCGTGCGACGGCGATAGTGATGATGGTGCCGCGAAGAGCGTCACTGCACCGGGCCGCGCGCACGGGAACGGTAAGACGGCGCGCGCTCTCAACTCTTCAGCTCGTGTTTATATTCTTATAAGAAGATAGAAAGTTTCCATGGTATCACGGCTGTAAAAATGCTACACGATCTGGGAATGTGTTCAGCTGTAATCTGACTGGCACACACACTTTTGCTCAGTGGCGTAACTTTGTTATAAAAAGTGGGTGGGACATGTGTATAAATGAATGAATCACGTGACACGTGAATAAAACGATCCGACTTTACAACATGTGGAATAGCCTATGCTATAGGCCTACAGAAAGTCCTGTAAAATTAAACGAATAAAGTGACCTAATAGTATGAATAAAAATTATATAAACAAAAATATAAATAAAAGTAAATTAACTAGGCTATTAGGCCAGAATTTTGATAACTGATTTTTTGCGGAACGCGCAAGATTAAAATTAAAATTGGCTTAGCCTATCCATTGTACACACAAACTGCTGTACAATTAAACGAATAAATGGGCCTTATAAATAAAGATAAAAAATAAGTGTATAAACAAAAATGTAAAAAATAAAAAAATAAAGGCCTACATAAACATTTTAAAAGTACATTTAAAAAAGTAAATTAACTGGTCAACATTTTGATAACCAAACGTTTGCACAGCGCGCACAAATAGCCTAATAAAATTATGCTCATCAATATAGAATGCTGTAAAATTAAACGAATCAAATGACTTTATTATAAATAAGAATATACAGGCTATAGGCCTACTGTAGGTTACAACGTTTTAAAAGTATGTTTCAAAATTCGTATAACTGAACTTTTGCGCAGAGTGCACATTAGGCTACAATTTAAATGGGTTAGCCTACATTGTCAAACTTTTAGAAAGAAAGAAAGAGTTCACCTTCAAGAACACAAGTTTGGACAATGTCTGAGGCTTCAGACTCATGCGGTTGTTGCGAAAACCCTCTCCGCTTGGGATGCTGAACACAATGCGAGCTAGGCGGGGAAAAGACGTGGAGTCAGACTCGTGGTGTGAGCGGAGCGAAATTGGAGCGGGAAATAGGGTGACGCTCCGTCCTTTAAAAAATGCCCCTCTCCGCTCTGTCTAAGATCCGCCCGCTCGAGCTTCCCGCTCCACTCCGCTCACATTCTCTGCACCTGAACGAACAAAAAGTCTCCGAAACAGTCTCCGAAACGGATTGAAGCGCGCATGCATGTGAAGACTGCGTGAGCCAGGAGATACACTGTAACCGCGCCACCGATCGCAGGCGGCAAGGAGCACTTTGATCACTTGATTTAAAAAAAACAACGTATTTCAGGGCTAGATCGCTTCTTTTATTTTACAAACGAACGAAATGACTGGTCTGCCAGTTGGAGATGTTTTATTTATTTCTACTGTTAGCTATCCGTGCAGCGAGAACTTTTAAAAAGTGGTGGGGACAATATCGACCTTGGCAAAAAGTGGTGGGGACATGTCCCACCCGTCCCACCCGCAAATTACGCCCCTGCTTTTGCTACGGGAGAAAAATCTACATGGTGATTTATGATTTCAATCTTAAAGTGAGGCTCACAAATCTTTCCTTGTAGTAGCTTTAACAAAACAGCAGACAACGTGACATGATTCACACACAGTTTGGAAAAGTGTGTGTGAGTAATCTCCAGGGGCCTCATGCATAAAACTTTGCGTAGATTTCATCCTTAAAGTGTGCGTACGCACATAAGGCAGAATTTGCGTACGCACAAAAGTTTTCAGATTTATAAAACCGTTCGTAAGCCAGAACCTGCGCAGAATTCACTTTATAAAACCCAGTCAGCGGGAGATTATGCGCACGTGCGTCTCCTCCCCGAAATAACCATATATGGAAATTACAACGCCTAGTTTTACTATGCATATCCTATTCTGCATATCATTTGCATATGATTATTCATCCACGTGATACCAAGTTTAACGGTACAAGACGTTAGGAAAATATGAAATGCGGATGTGCCGTCACATTATTACAAACATTTTTTTAGTAGCCTATCCTTGCCTTGTTTTTGAATGAATAAATCAAATAGTGTTAAATACATTTCAGAGAAAGTTTTTCTCAATCTTTTCCACTGGCCAAATAGTATTTTTAATTGATTTATATTTTAATGGATAATGGAAGAGATTTTAATGGAAGAGATAGACATGGTTGTGCATTATTTGCACGAAACAGTTTTCTCAGACAATCTCTTAAAACATCAAAACACAGCATGCCAGAAGAAAAGTGTTCAAAAGCAATGCATCCACAACAAATAGGTCTATTTATATTTATTGAAAAAAAAATAAATATATATATATATATATATATATATATATATATATATTGTAACTTCTCAGTGATGATTTAGTTTAAGAGTTTAACTCCATTAATGAGAATGGCATATTTAATCTAAATGTTTATATCAGAAGTAAAACATAGTTTAAACCATTCTCTTATTTATTTAAACTGTTATTGTGAATATGGACTGTATTTATGATTTGGACTCATAATGAAGATTTACGGTTTTACTCCATCTGCCGTTAGATTATAGGCTATATGCGTCAGTTTCACCAAACGGCCCAACGCGCGTGCTGGCGGTCATTTAAGAAGGGATGGATGTTTGCTTCAAGTGATGATAGGTTTGTGAAATTATATTTGTATTATCTTTCTGTAGATGTATAATTTTCTTTAGACTCTCTGTCTAATAGTGAGCAAAAAGACATTTGACTCCAGCTCACCATCGGTGTCGCCAAAACCCATACTCTTCTAAAAGAGTGCGTACGCACGGTCAAGAGCATCCTTACGGTGCGCAATTATTTACGCCAAGTTTATTTTTTATAAATCCCGATGTGCGCGTGGAAAAATGCGTACGCATATTTCTATGCCCATTTTGTGCGTACGCAACGTTTATACATGAGGCCCCAGGTCTGCATGAGTATGGAAGAGAGGAATCAGAGTATGCTGAAATACATGTGCTTTACACAATATTGGCCCTATTCAGTTTTCTCAAATATAAACCATCACTTCAAGATATGAGGACACAAATGAAAATAGTCCCAGATGACTGTACTTTATACAAACGAAAGAATTGTTAAATGTGGTCTGAAAAACTGAGAGCTTTGGATATTTAATTCCGCAAATGTATGACATTTTGAAAGTTGAAGTGTGTGTGTGTGTGATAGGGGTAGTTCAGCCATGAGTAACAGTCCTGGGCCCTGATGTATAAACGTTGCGTACGCACAAAATGGCCATAGAAATATGCGTACGCATTTTTCCACGCGCACATCAGGATTTATAAAAAATAAACTTGGAGTAAATAAGTGCGCACCGTAAGGATGCTCTTGACCGTGCGTACACACTCTTTTAGAAGAGTATGGGTTTTGGCGACACCGATGGTGAGCTGGAGTCAAATGTCTTTTTGCTCACTATTAGACAGAGAATCTAAAGAAAATTATACATCTACAAAAATATAATTCTAATATAATTTCACAAACCTATCGCAAACATCCACCCCTTCTTAAATGACCGCGCCAGCACGCGCGTTGGGCCGTTTGGTGAAACTGATGCATAATCTAACGGCAGATGGAGTAAAAGCGTAAATCTTCATTATGAGTCCCAATCATAAATACAGTCCATATTCACAATAACAGTTTAAATAAATAAGAGAATGGTTTAAACTATGTTTTACTTCTGATATAAACATTTACATTAATATGCCATTCTCATTAATGGAGTTAAACACTTAAACTACATGCAATCATTACTGAGAAGTTACAAAAAATTATATTCAATAAATAGAAATGGACCTATTTGTTGTGGATGCAATGCTTTTGAACATTTTTCTTCTGGCATGCTGTGTTTAAACGTTTTAACTGATAGCTAATAGCAGATTGTCTGAAAAAACTGTTTGGTGCAAATAATGCACAACAAGATCTATCTGTTTCCATTAAAATATAAATCCATTAAAAATACTTTTTGGCCAGTGGAAAAGATTGAGAAAAACTTTCTCTGAAATGTATTTAACACTATTTGATTTATTCATTCAAAAACAAGGCAAAGTTATAGGCTACTAAAAAAAAATGTTTAATAATGTGACGGCACATCCGCATTTCATATTTTCCCAACGTCTTGTACCGTTAAACTTGGTCTCACGTGGATGAATAATCATATGCAAATGATATGCAGATGAGGATATGCATAGTAAAACTAGGCGTTGTAATCTCCATATATGGTTATTTAATAAAATGACAATGTTTTGTCATCTGGTGGATGACAAAACATAAGTTTTTGTTGTTTTTTTGTCTGGAGTGAATGTAAATATCTGGTTTCGACTGTATTTATTTAGAGTTTTTGTCATTTCTGGTCTGTTTTCCATTTTTACTTTTATTTACACACATTAAAATATTTTTGTGGTGGTGCCTATGAAAATAGTTCTATACAAATGAATTAACTGTATATTTAATAAAAAAAATATATTCAATAATAATATATTATAATCATTGAGTTTTACTCGGCGGGATCCGATCAGTAATGAGGGACTGCTGTGGTCATGTGACCTGTGGCGGGCGCTCTGCTTTGAACAAGCTGTTCAGAGTAACAGTAAACCATAAAGCACAGCAAACTTGTGATTGAGGTTGTGTGTTGTTTAGCTGCAGAAGTGTGTGTGTGTGTTCCTGCTCTGACTGGTGTGTTGTGTGTTGTTCAGCTGCAGAAGTGTGTGTGGGCGAGCCGGTGGAGGTGCTGGACCAGCGCAGTCTGCAGGAGATCCTGGAGAGCGTGCCCCCGCCGCCGCCCCCCGCCATGAGCTCCGAGCCCGGGGCGCCGCGCCTCATGATCACACACATCATCAACAGGAACTTCAAGTCCTACGCCGGGGAGCAGATCCTGGGCCCCTTCCACAAGGTACAGTCCAGCTCAGGCCGTTACTCCTGCTGTTACACGGGCAGTTCTGTCAGTAATTACTCACCCCATATTTGAGGTTTTTGGGTCAGAACGTGGGCTCGCACTATTTTATCCATGTCTTTAATAACTTTCTGGGCCGGGCAGTTTTAATCCTTTAGTCTATGGAGGAGTGAGACAGCTCTCAGATTTAATCAAAAGTATCTTAATTTATGTTCGGAAGATGAACGAGACTCTTACGGGGTTGAACAACATGAGGGTTGTTACTGACTTTAACCCTTTAACCCCTGGAACACACCAAGCTGGCCAACTAGCGCTGATGAAAGCCGGCTGTGTTGTCTCCTCGCGTCGGGGTAAAGCTGCACTTGAACACACGAGAGAACTACTAACGACTGTCAGCTAGCATATGCGTTCAACTGTCTATTTCTGCAGACATCCGTCAGTGAATAAGGGAACCTGACCTGAACCTGCAGCATAAAGAAACCAGTGTGTTGATTATCAATCCTGCTGAACACTGTCTTTATTCCACTCCGCTCATGTTCAGATTGAAATATTGGTCAAGGAACACTCTCGGGTAGGATGACGTGACATAAGATCAGCCTTCTATCTGTGCCGTTTTAATCATAATAATAATGCATTTTATTTATATAGGCGCTTTTCTGGACACTCAAGGTCACTTCACAAAACATGATTAAACATTACAGCAATAAATATGAAACGTTACAACTATAGTTACTTTTACATAAAATTAGAGTACAAAAACAAGATCACAAGAAATAAGCCAATTTAAAAAGATGTGTCTTATAGGGCCCTATAAAATCCGTTTTATTTTTTCCCAAATTCCATTTTTTCCGTTTTAATTTTTGCAAATTCCGTTTTTTCCAGTTTTAATTTTTGCAAATTCTGTTTTTTCTGTTTTAATTTTTGGTAATTCAGTTTTTTTTTTATTACCCTTAACTGTTATTTATTTTAGTTGTAAAAAGCTCCTTTAATGTTGCTTTTAATGTTAATGATTAAAATGTACACAAATAAAATAGGCATTTACTCATATGCAACGTAACACTGCACTATAAGGACAGCATGAGAACCGACAATGGCGACAATTTTAATGATCACGACGGAAAATCGAAATAGTCCATGCGTCCAACATGTGTTGTGATTTTCTCTTCATGCCGTTTTACAGCAGCACAGCACACACTTCCCTCCATCTCACTGCTGGCCCTCCATCTGACATCCACATATATCTGCCCTTTCCTATCAACACACGAACGCACTCAATCCAGATGTTTAATCAGATCCACAGATGTGTAGAAGAACTGAATAAGCCAGAGATCAGTAATGCGATGAGAAGATCTGTCAGGTGTATGAGAACGGACCCTTTGCTTGGCCTGTGCGTGAGGCGGTAACACACCGCTGTCGGGTTGAGTTATTGCGCCCTCTTGTGGACTGACTTTACAGACACTCACCATCGTTTGAGGTGCAAAACTCGAGTGGCGGACACAGGGGAAAATTAAGCGTATTCTTGTGTATTCTGAGTGACATCCAGTAGATTAGCTAAGCTAGCCGTTTATTTCAGAACCATTAACCGACGAGTGAACATCAGAAACACAACTGTTATCAGACGATAAACTCTATTGTCCCATCACGTTCAACAGAAGAAAACACACTAACCCGTGTAGCTGCTCTAACCACAACATGATAAAAGTGTGTAGAATAAGTGATGTTTTCTGCCGGACCGGCTCTCTGTGCAGCGCTTCTCCTGTATCATCGGGCCGAACGGCAGTGGCAAGTCCAACGTGATCGACTCCATGCTGTTTGTGTTCGGCTACCGGGCCCAGAAGATCCGCTCCAAGAAGCTGTCGGTGCTGATCCACAGCTCAGACGAGCACCCCGACCTGCAGAGCTGCACTGTGGAGGTGCACTTCCAGAAGATCATCGACCAGGTGTGTGTGTCTCTCTCTCTCACACACACTCTCTCTGTTTAGCAATCGAGCATCGCACCGATCCAAGAGAACAACAGCTTTTTAAATGCTTAAACTATAAATAATAACAAGAAATGATATTTGGTTCGAAGTCATCATATGGGTTTATCGAACCCATTTATTTATCTCGTTAAAGGATTAGTTCACTTTTGAAAAAAAACTTTTGCTGATAATTTACTCGCCCCCGTGTCATCCAAGATGTCCATGTCTTTCTTTCTTTGGTCGAAAAGAAATTAAGGTTTTTGATGAAAACATTCCAGGATTTTCTCCGTATAATGGACTTCAATGGGAACCAGACGGTTCAAGGTCCAAAAGACAGTTAATAACAATCTCAGATGCAGCTTCAAATGTAACTTTTCTAAGGACAAATGCTAGCCTTGCTCTATTCTGTGAGGCGCGTTTGTAACGTCACGTAATACGTAATTACGTTCAAAAGGTCACGGGCGACGTAGCCGGAAGTACAGAATCAAAATCGTCAGACATCGTTGTTTTACCTTTTAATTCCTTTTTTGTAAACGGCGTTTGAGTTAGTTTTCACGTTCAACCTATGCGTTCAACTTGTAAACACTGATTCTGTACTTCCGGCTATGTCGCCCGTGACCTTTTGAACGTAATTGCGTATTACGTGACGTTACAAACGCGCCTCACAGAATAGAGCAAGGCTAGCATTTGTCCTTAGAAAAGTTACGTTTTTGGAATAAGTGTTGAAATAAGCGATCGTTTCGCATGATAAGACCCTTATTCATCGACTGGTGTCGTTTAAAGACATTTGAAGCTGCATCTGAAACTGTTATTAATTGTCTTTTGGACCTTGAACCGTTTGGACCCCATTGAAGTCCATTATATGGAGAAAATCCTGGAATGTTTTCATCAAAAACCTTAATTTCTTTTCGACTGAAGAAAGAAAGACATGGACATCTTGGATGACATGGGGGTGAGTAAATTATCAGCAAAAGTTTTTTTTTAATCCTTTAAGACACAGCATGTACAATAAATGCTATAAACTGATATAACTACTGTAGCTTAGCATAATAGCTGCCCTTTAAATGCAGGTACTCGACGCTAATCGAGCAACTGCTATCGTTACTGCCCTTACAGAAAGGCTGCTTATGAAGATCATCTAATATGCTTGAACATGTGTGTGTGTCCTGCTGTGGTCTTGTGTGTACAGGAAGGAGACGACTACGATGTCATCCCCAACAGCTCCTTCTATGTGTCCAGGACCGCTGGCAAAGACAACTCGTCCGCCTACCACATCAGCGGCAAGAAGGCCACCTTCAAAGACGTGGGAGTGTTGCTGCGCAGCCACGGCATCGACCTGGACCACAACCGCTTCCTCATCCTGCAGGTAATCCCCTGCACACACACGCACACACACACACATCCCCGAGAGATCTGACCTAAACCACTTCCAAATGTAGTTTTAAATCCGATATCTGACCTCCGTCTAAACATACTTATCCGATTCCCCTTCCCCTAATGTTGTGTTATGAGGCAGACGTGCCTGTGTGCTCGCTTACGGCTTTATATCGAGGTGGGAACTTAAAAATCTTGCGCAAACGCAGAAACATTCAGGATCTGGTTTTCAACTTCAGCCCGTGACCTTTACAAATAAAAGCTACGTTTCTCAGCAATGAGGCGATAACTCCACTGTAATTAAACCAATAAGCGTCACTGTTAGCGCTCCCTCGCGCTGGCTGAAAATATATATTACAGCGCTGCTTTATTCCACTCCAGAATGCTGTAGATAAACAGGATGATTGTCGGATTTGTCCTGCTGTTGGCCTCGGGTGTATCCGGCGGGCCGCGGACACGCTAAACTATAGCAGCGCATCACGGTTTTCGGCACGAACCATTATCTGCTGCTCTAGAGTTTTCAGGGCCTCTCATACGTTATTATCCTGACCGTTCACAAAACATGGCCTGTCCAAAAAGGTCAGAGGTCAACAGCTGTCCACTCTTCCTTCCTCGCTTTAGCAGCACGTAAATATTGGTGTGTCAAAGTCAAGGCCAACCCCAATATTGTGTGTGCTGCTTCAGCGAGGCAGGAGCGAGCCTCCCTCCACCCACACCTCATCCTTCACCTCGACCCACCTCTGTGCTTATGACCCCTGACCTGCTGTTCGACACCGTTGGCTCATTTAACCCCTCGGTCTAGCTTTGTGCTCGAGATTAGTGAAACTCCATTAGTCGCTTAATTATTCCGTTTTGATTCTGCGTATTAAAGATAATGCTAGTTCACTGTAGCCTAGCATATACGGATATTTCGGATGCTGCGATCAGGGTTTTGGGATCCCGATACTGCGAGAGCTGTGTGACAGACACAGACTAATGAAGCGTCGTCGACGTGTGCATCCAGATGTCGATGTTGAGATGTTTCTACAGGCTTGTTGGTTAGTTGTCAGCTGCGGTGTCAAAACGGTTTAAAGAAAGCCACATTCCACATCGCATTACCGTATTTTCCGGACTATAAGTCGCTCCGGAGTATAAGTCAGCCCAAAAATGCGTCATGACGAGGAAAAAAACATATATAAGTCGCACTGGACTATAAGTCGCATTTATTTAGAAATTTATTTAACAAAATCCAAGACCAAGAAAAAGTTATTTAACCTGTTAACTGTCACCCCCCCCTTTTTTGAATAGACATGAAAATGCACATTTCGAACTTAAATGGTTGTAATTCAAGAATGCTTTGGAATAAAGACATATGATTGGTCTTGTTTTAAAGAAGACATTTGGCAGATTTTTGTAGAAGTGAAATAAATTAAGAAAGTGAAACAGAAAAAAAGTTATAGAAGTTTGAGTTTATGGAAATGTACAATGTAAAAATATTAATTATTCATATTTTACATAAAATATATATTTTCAAAACCTGGGCTACTCTAAAATGGCAGAAAGATCAAAGCCAAAAATCTGAACAAGTTGTGTTTCAAATTTTAGGTTGATATCTCAAAAAATGAGCTTTCAGTAAGATTTTGTTTGAGCGCAGTACCAAACTTTTTCACTAGGGCACAATCAGACTCCATTACTGCCCATATAAGGGCGCCTGCATTTCCATTCGTGTTTTGAGTGATATGAACCATTATTTTCACAATTTTCATACAATTTCTGAAGTAGAGATCATATTCAGAAGTAGCATGGGAAGTTTGGCAGATTTTGATATGAATTGAACCTCTAAGAAACACATACAAAGAACATGCATGTAAGTCATAGCTAGCTGCCACGTCACAAATGGTGAATTTATTATTTTTTTCTTGATATTTCAAACTTTTCAGACCTTTTTTTTCCAAAATAATTGAATGGATTCTATCTTTTGAACTTTTGGCATGAAAACAAACTGAGGTATCTACCATTTTTTCATGATTTTTCATGTTTACTGCTATTTTAAAATAAAGGTCTGAACACGCCTTATGAGTATGAAAATATTCTTGTTTTATATTGATAAATTATGGCTCCTCTGTAATATATTTTGAAAATCAGTCACCAAATATGGAAACTAGAGATTGTAAGCTTTCAAATGATATATAGTTTGTCAATATTATTTAAGGTATTTACTAAGATATTATTGTTTTAAAAATATAGTGGCAAACTTCCCACCTGTGGGACGGTGACAGTTAAGTGGTTTTAAACAGACTTTAATTCATTAAAACAGAAGGCATTATTCAGCTACACACAATAGCACAAAAACAACAGGCTGAATATGTGTCCGGTATGTTGTTAACGTAACACATCAACAGTTTAGCTACACAATAGCATAAAGAACATACCTGAGAGGCTGAATAGGATAAAATAACGAAACAAGACAGCGAGTCCAACAGTTATCAGTAAAGCAATTTCACCAAGCACCCGCGATCTTATTCCACATCACTGAACCGTTGAATTCTTCATCCTCCGTGTCGCTTCTGAACAACTCCGCTATTTCCGGAGGAAGATGAAGCGCCGTCTCCTGTCGTCAGACTCGGCATATCAGTTCCGGTTATTCCAGCCTTTCTGAATCCCGACAGGATGGTTTCGGTTGCGTTCAATCTAATATTTCAGTTAAAGGGTTAGTTCACCCAAAAATGAAAATTCTGTCAGTATTTCCTCACCCTCATGTTGTTCAACCCCGTAAGACCTTCGTTCATCTTCGGGACGCGAATTAAGATATTTAAGATATTAAGATCGCTCCTGCATACAGTCCATAGGCTTCTTGAGGGACTGGCTCTTGCTGTCCCCGAAAAGTCATAAAAGACATCGTTAAAATAGTCCAAGTGACTACAGGGGCTCAATCTTAACTTTATCAAACGACGAGAACACTTTTGTGCGCAAAAATAACGACTTTATTTCAACTATTGGTTTATTTCTCCCTCTGCGCGAGTCAGGTTACTAGTTTAATAGCGTAAGCTTCTGTTATTGTACGTCACACGCATCACACACATGACCAGCGTCGGCCAATAGTGAGCCTACGTGTGACGTAGCTTTACGCAATCACACTACGTTAACTGACTTACAGGCTCATGGAGAAGGAAGTGAATAGTTGAAATAAACTCGTTATTTTTGTTGTTTTTTTGCGCACAAAAGTGTTCTCGTCGTTTGATAAACTTAAGATTGAGCCCCTGTAGTCACTTGGACTATTTTAACAATGTCTTTAATGACTTTTCGATGCCAGCAAGAGCCATTCCCTCAAGAAGCCTATGGACTGTATGCAGGAGCGATCTTAATATCTTAAATATCTTAATTTGTGTTGCGAAGATGAACGAAGGTCTTACGGGGTTGGAATAACATGAGGGTGAGTAAATACTGACAGAATTTTCATTTTTGGGTTAACTAACCCTTTAATATCAGTTGTTTTCAGTTAATTTTTTCAGCGGTAAAACTACCGTAGCTGTAGTCTAGAGCGCTCTCTCGTGGCTGTAGACGGTAATGTCACCCCCAATTTCGGCAAATGATGCATTCACGTCATACCACAAATACATCAAAAACTCGCAAATAATAATCTGGGGCCGTCAGCGATCCTGTGACGAGTAAATCTTGGTAATTTTGATGTATAAGTCGCACCTGACTATAAGTCGCAGGACCAGCCAAGGTGAAAAAAAGTGCGACTTGTAGTCAGGAAAATACGGTACTTCATCTGTGCGTTAAACGCCTAGTGTCCCCGTCCACTGAACAGAGCAGGCTCACAGGTCACCGCAGGGACTGGATCTGTGTGTGGACACGAGGTGCATGAGTGTGTGTTGCTGTTGTCAGGGGGAGGTGGAGCAGATCGCCATGATGAAGCCCCGGGGGCAGACGGAGCACGACGAGGGCATGCTGGAGTACCTGGAGGACATCATCGGCTCCTGCCGGCTCAAGGAGCCCATCCACCTGCTGTGCCGCCGGGTCGAGCTCCTCAACGAGCAGCGCGGAGAGAAGGTATGCGTGTCATGTGGTGCTTCCCCACTCCATCTCTGAGCTGGATATCCTCCTTTAAGTGTGTGTGTGTGTGTGTGTGTGTGTGCAGCTGAACCGAGTGAAGCTGGTGGAGAAGGAGAAGAGCGCTCTGGAGGGAGAGAAGAATAAAGCGGTGGAGTTCCTCACCCTGGAGAACGACATCTTCAAGAAGAGGAACCTCCTCTGCCAGTTCTACGTGTAAGACGCATCCTCCAGCGCTGATGTCATCTGCCTGTCGCTTCAGCACAGGGCATTAAAACATAACTCTGCTCTGTAATGAAGTTTTATTTTCTGAGATTAGTGAGATTGACCAGTTGAACTACAGACTAGCGCTTATCGCCATTACTGTGTCCCCCGAAGATGAGAAGTCGTCCCGTTTTGTCGTGCTAGAAATAAGTTACAGCTGTTAAATGTGTTTCCATGTGTCCCTCTTCACATCTAGTAGGGGTTGAACCGACTAGTCGACCTGAAAGGGATAGTTTGGCCAAAAATGATATTTAACACATGCATTACTCACCCTCAAGCCGTTCGAGACGCACATGTCAATCATGTTTCAGACGAACACTTTTTCAGTTATTTTAGAAAATGTCTTAAACACTTCAGTGGATATAATGTGAAGCAATGGGGTCCAGCTCCTTCAAGTCCCAAAAATGTGCATAAAACATTCACAAAAGTAATCCATCCGGCTCCAGTGGGATAAACGAAGGCCTTCTGAGGGTAATCCGTGCGGTATTGTCGTAAAAATATACACATTTAACCCTTGTGCGTCCTTGTGGACATTTTTGTCCTTTTCAGTTTAGTTTTTTTGATCACTTTGCCTGTGTTAAAGCTAACTGCAAAAAACTTGGCACAGGAGTGTATTTTTATTGGAATTTTACTATTTCACCGTCATTTTTTTATAAAAATATTTTTTGCATTAGGTACAAAAAATCCTCCCTCTCAGCACCTTTTGGACAAAAGTGTCCCCATTGAAACCCATTAAAACTGCCATTTTTAATCCCCGGTTCAGTTAACTATACAATTATGCAGTCTTTGTTAAGAGGCTTTCATTCTGATGGCAAGGCTTCAAAATGTTATTTTTTACTATTTTTTTATCATTTTTTTTAAAGTTTGACCTATAAAACAAATATGGCTTTATTCCTGTTTTCTGCTTCGGCATATTATAGAGCCAACTGGATAAATTATGCAACGATATTTGTGTGGGTGTGTTGGTATGGATGTCAGAGTGTGGTTAGTATGTGTGTTAAAAAAATGTCCTTTTGCACAAGGGTTAACTTTCTGTGGGAAACGCTGCTCCATGATTCACTCTGGTTTCCTCAGGCATGATCTACAGAAGCGTGCGTCGGCGAAAGAAGCGGAGAAACAGCAGATTCAGGAGGACACGAAGGAGCTGAGTGACCGAAGCAGCCAGCTGACCGAGGAGGTGAAGGCCAAGAATGAGGAGCTGAAGGCTGTGGAGAAGTGAGAGGCCTTTACATCCCCCTGAACGCTAGTGATGATTGGTGTTAGCATGTACACTGGTGCCACACGCTGCTCAGAGGCGCTGGCTCACAACCCCAGTTCATCTGTTTGAGTTTGCAGAAACTACCACATGTTCAGCTCCACCACCAGTCCCAAGTTGAGTTGAAATGACATTAATGACATGTTGTTTTCCCTCTAAAGGAAACTGACCAAGCTGACCAAGTTCATCGAGAGTCAGAAGGAGAAATTTACCCAGCTGGACCTGCAGGACGTGGAGGTGCGCGAGAAGCTCAAACACACCAAGAGCAAAACCAAGAAGCTGCAGAAACAGCTTCAGAAAGACAAGGAGAAGGTGAGATCAGTGCTTCCGCAGCGCGGCGGCTACGTTCACACTGTCAGTCCAAATCCGCTTTATTAACGGTTAAAAATCACATTTCAAGCTACATTCATATGTGGTTTTGAAATCCGTCTCAATCTGACCGCTCTGAGAAAGACACAAACACACTGCAGAATTCGTTCACTCACATAAAATGTAGCGTCAGACGCTGTTAATAATGCTATGTTAATGCTAATAATGTTGAAACGTGCGTTTTGATTGAACATTTTTTAAACAATTGTCATAGAGCATTTATAAAACAACGAAAAAAATAAATAAAATTATAATAATAATACAATTCTTTGAAAATTAAGTGATTTTTTTTTTTTAACTGCAAAAGTGAAGAGCTCTGTCCTAGGTCTATAACACTCACAATCGCGCACCTGACCACACCACACGCTGCAAAAAATATAACTGCTATCTGCCACATAATACAAAAGCTCTCGTTTATACAGGCTTTATATTCTTCTTTACTTTCAAAGCTATGGGTTAACTTTCGTCCTGACGATCAAGGCGTTTAAAAAAAAAAGCCTAAAACAATCTGAAATTGGCTGTGTTGTAGGAAGGCTGTAAGGCGTATAGGTTTATTTTCGTTTTGTTGCATTATTTAGGCTATTTTCAAATGCGTCAAGTGTACAAATAAAAACGAAAACATTAAGAAATCACAATCATGATATAGCCGTTAAAAGGCTGCTAACATCTTTTACGTCAAGTTCGCTTTCAACTGTAGGCGCTCGACTTGACCAGCCAGCCACAGGTGCGGTTCCCGAGTGTATTATGTGCGCGCACTAAACTGTGGCGCTGTTACAAAAATAGCCTCAATTTAAGCATTTTAAAGTTGGGGACAAAACATTATGTTTAGATAATGTAATGTACAAGGCTAATTATATTTAGAATACAGTAATAAATAACTGCTTATAAATATCAAGGAGTAAATCATTGAAAAATTCTTTCTATTGGTAAAAAAAAAAAAAAAAAAAAATGCCACTGGCCGACCAATAAGAATGTCAGTCGACCAAGACGGCATCGACCGATTAGTGGACTAAAGTTGACAGCCCTACTGTAGACCAGATTCGGTCGGATGATCAGATATATGGTTCGTCCCGAGCGCGAGAGCTGCAGCGAGTCGCATAAACTGATAAAACAAGTCTTACAAGTTAGTCATTCATAACTTTTTTAAGTTAGTCACATAAAAACGTACATTAGTCTAAGTTGATGCCGAACAGTGCTGGTTGGTCACACTAGTTCTTAAGTAATGGCTGTGTGTATGCTACTGGTCCTGATGCGGTGTGTGTGTGTGCAGCTGGAGGAGCTGAAGGGTGTGCCCGCCAGCAGCGAGAGCATCATCACGCAGGCGTCTGCGCAGAAGCAGCAGCTGGAGGAGCAGAAGCTGCAGGAGGAGCACGCGCTGGCACTGGTGATGGAGAGCCTGAAGGAGGAGACCAGCGGCCTGCAGGACGACAAGCAGGTACACAACACACACCACACACACTCCAGGTACACAACACAACACACTCCGTACAAGCAGGTACACAACACAACACACACACTCCAGACACAACACCACACACTGTGTTACTGTGTTTACTAATATTGGTCCCACTTTATATGAAGTGGCTTTAAGTACTATGTACTACTTACATTGAACAATAAGTACAATGTATTACTGTGTTCCTGTTTAGGGCTGCACGATTCTTGCTAAAATGTGAATCACGATTTTTCTCCATGGGAATTGAGATCTCGATTCTCTTACACGATTCTCTTTTTTTTTTCATCCAAAATGTATTGCACTCAAGTAAAAAAAAACAAAAAAACAAAACACAAGACAGTCTAATAAAGTGCAGTAACAAAAAAAATCTAAATTGTTTAAGCTGGTTCTTTGGGGCTAGCCTATGTAGCTGTCTGTGTATAGACCATTTCACAAGATGTAAACAACACTGGTCCAGAAACGCTTCCTGTTTCAGTTTGTAACTGTTTTCTTTATTTCACATGTAAAGAAAACATCTTAAAGATGTTTGTTTTACTTTTTGATTCAGTTTTAAATGTTCTGTTGGTTGTAATTTATCCCAGCTTTTATGTAGTGTTAAAAAACTGAAACAGGAAGTGCTTCTGGACCAGTGTTGTTTACATCTTGTGAAATGGTCTATTAGTCATGAACTAAAAGTAAGTGTAGGCTATATTTAATATTTTCTGGCTAGTTTACTATAGCTTTTTTTAGAATCAGACATCACACTTGACCCAAACTGAATAATTACAAACAAGTTTAAATGGGTAGCCTAAATCTTCTATAAATATTTGAGTCTTCATATCTAAAACTCTCCAAAATGCTCTATGTGAAACTGCGGTTTTCCAAACTTTCGTGTTGTTTGAAGACCTCTCTCTCTCTCTCTCTCTCTCTCCGCCCTTTCAAGCGCAGCAGTTTCTATTCTACATCATCACTCGCCGATCAAACTAGGCTTTGGCGGGACTAATATGTGCTAAAGCGGCCTCCAAAAAGCAGACGATCTGACGGTTTTAGAAGATTAACAAACCGAAATTAAGAAACAGACCCGCCCTATTTGAGACGAGCTTTTATTTGCCCAAACCTGCAGCCACACAGGCGTGTAAAAGATACAGGCGTCTATGGGACTCGGCTATTATTTTTATATAAGTTTTAAGGTACTTCAGTTCTTGTTAAAACCGACTAGACATTGTGTGAAACTACTTTTTGAGTGAAATCATAAATTTTGTCCCTCAAAAGTGTGCTTTCACTCTAATTGAGCGCGCGTTTCACTGCTGCTCACGCGCTGCCCCTGCGCCCGGTGAATACTTTGATTAACATGCAAGCCCCAAAAAAATATGCGCTGCTCACGTGCAACAACTTTAATTTAGACATTCCCTGATGAAACGTCCGCATGATTGATTTGTGAATTATTGTTTTGTTTTTGTGTGAGTGTGACCAATATTAACGCGTGAATGCAGCATGATCTGAATGCAGGGAAATACACGGAAGTGAATCGCCATCATTAAGAAAGGAGATCGCATTTATGCTTGAATCGAGATCGTGATTTTTTTCGATTAATCGTGCAGCCCTATTCCTGTTGTATTGTAAAACACTTTTGCTGCTATTGAGGTGTGGTATGGGTAAGGTTAGGTTAAGGTGTGAGGGGAGGGTCAACTGTGTAATTACAGATGTAATTACATAAATTAATTATAGCTGGAATTTTTAAATACAAGTACAATGTAAGAACATGTATGTACACAATAAGTCCATTGTATCAAATGATTAATTTCAGTGTAAGTACATAGTACTAAAAGCCACTTAATATAAAGTGGGACTGTAATATTTGTTTATTTTAGTTTATATAACTCAAGCTGTTCACTGTTTGTGATCTACATCATTTAGACAAATCTCTGGATATCTAATAAACATTTAATTTAAAGTGAATTAATGCTTGATGGTTTGCTATAATCACAGACATGCATCTGAGGAATATTTCTCTGCTTAATTCCTTGAGCACGTTCACACATGCAGAAACTACACTAAATCTCCTGACAAACTAAAAGACGTGTGTATCCTAAATAAGACAGCTGAGTTCGATCATATACAGTTAGTACAGTTCATTATGAAACGAGACCACGTTCCTCCAGGACAATCACAAAATCACGTGACTAGAAAACATAAAAAAACTGGCTCATTGTTTTGCTCTAGATAATGATTTATCAACTCTGCGCTGGTGTTTGTGGAAACGCGACTCGTTGAGCAGTGCTGACGAGCGTAGCTGGCGTCCGATGCTGTGGTTGTGCGGGGTGTGAGTGTTTGCTGTGTGTGTGTGTGTGTGTGCAGAAGCAGGAGCAGCAGCTGCTGGAGCTGAGCAAGGCGGTGAACGAGACGCGCTCGCGGATGGACGTGGCCCAGTCTGAGCTGGACATCTACCTGAGTCAGCACACCAGCGCCGTCAGCCAGCTCGCCCAGGCCCAGAGTGCCCTGCAGGAGGCCGTGAACACGCTGAGAGAGAGGCGAGCCGCCATCAAGGACCTGCACGTCAAGATCCCGCAGTGTGAGGAGCAGCTCCAGAAGGTGCGCTCGAGTGACCCGTAGTGTTGCACGCTCACCATACCCAGCTATTAATAACAGCTGGAGATTACATGTTACCAGTACCGGTTCTTTAAGAGTGACGGCACTCGAAATTATAAGAGCGGTATCTGTGCCGATGCGTGACGGACGGAGTGTGTGTTTCAGGACGAGCAGGAGCTGCAGCAGATCTCTGAGCAGGACCAGCAGAAGCGAGCGCAGGTTGGGGACCTGAGACAGAAGGTGTGTGAAGCCAAGAGCTCTCTGTCCAGCAACCGCAGCCGCAGCAAAGTGCTGGACGCCCTCATGCAGCAGAAGCGCTCGGGCAAGATCACCGGCATCCTGGGACGGCTGGTACGTGCACTCGCCTTCACCTCGGCCAGACACGCTTTCAAATGAACGGACAATTTCCCTTCTAGATTAAGTGACCGGCAATTCAGAACTTCTGCTAGCCAAAGAAGAAATGAACCAGATTTACTCTCACAGCTTTTTATATATTTATAAATCGAAATTATTCAACTCCCATTGCAAATCAGGTTTATTGGGAAAACTTACAGATTTTCAGCTGTTTGCAATGAACAAATCAAACAAAAGTCATTGAATTGGCTCAACATAACAATGTTTCAAGTGGTTTCCCCAAATTTAACTGAAAATGCAACTTTTAATGACTTCAGAATCATTCACCCCTGAATAAAATCCCTCACAACAGCACAGATCTGCAGAACAGGTGTTGTCTCACTAATCAAGGGCTTCACTAGCTGCACCAGGTGTGCTTGAGCTAGAACACGTGACATATGTGGCTAGAAATATGGCTAAGTCAAAAGAATGATCAAAAGACAAGATTTCAACACCGTTCACAAACAAGGAACTGGATACATAACAGTCCTTCCAGAAAAACGCAGAGTTTTTTTTGTGATTGTTGCGGGTAAAAATTGATTGATTACGCGGCCCGTTTTCTTTAAAAATGCGATGGAAGATGCAGGATATTTATGCGGGAACTTGCAAAAACTGCGGTTTGATGAAAAAGAGAAAAAAAGTGATTCCTCCAACATCCTGTTTTCATTAGGCTAATGTAAGAGTCATTTCTTATTACTTCCTTTGATAAGCAAGCATACTACATCATAGAAAGTGCTGGGAATATTTAATTTCTCATCTTGTTTTATTTCAGACTGTAACGAGTGTAAATAAGGCGTGGTCCCTTTAAGAGCTGCGCGCTCCCTGTTGAAGTGTTATATGTGCACCTCGAACACCCCATGTGTGGGGGTAATTTCTGTTTGATGCTACTTCTTTTATCTTAGTAACGATGTGACGGTAGAACGTGTGACAGACAGTTATTGGAGTTCGATTTGTGAGATGTCAATCGCCTCCGTGAGTCTGTCTGGCCTCTGCAATAACTTCAGCTGTGAGCTATCCCGTTCATAATTGCGTCACTTCATAACGTTCCCATGGAAACAGGGGGAAATGGCTGCTCTTGTGTCAAGCAAACGCAAGATTTTTCAACGTTCTGCTAAGATATATGTGACTTTTTTGCAACGAAAATGCGAGGATTATGAAATCATGCAAACCCCGCATATTTTGCACGGAAATCAGCAATTAATGAGGCGAAAGTGCGGCGTATTAGAAAAAATGCGGCCCCCGCATAAATATGCGGACTTTGGCTGATTTTGCGTTGAATTCAGCGATCGCGTAATCGCGTTTTTCTGGAGGGACTGACATAAAGATGGCGAAGGCACTAAATGTTGGCAGAGACACCGTTGGAAGCATAGTTTGCGAGTTCAAAGTTGAAGGAACAGTAGTACACTACACTAGCATTTCAAGCCCTCACCGTTATCTGCTGTTAATCCTGCTGGTGTCTCCACAGGGGGATCTGGGAGCCATCGACGAGAAGTATGACGTGGCCATCTCCTCCAGCTGTGGCTCGCTGGATAATATTCTAGTGGACACCATTGACACGGCGCAGAAGTGCGTCACGTTTCTGAAGGCCCAGAACATCGGTGTGGCCACTTTCATCGGTCTGGACAAGGTGGGAGAGTTGACGTGTGACTAGGGTTGGGTATCGTTTGAATTTCAACGATTCTGATTCCGATTCCTTGTTTCGATTCCGGTTCCTAACGATTCTCGATTCCGATTCTTTTAAGAGGCAGGGTCAAAAAAGTTTAGCTAACCTTGCTAACCAACGGCCTTTCTGAAGGAAATACTCCTTTTGTCACAAATTTTGCATTTTGCCGAGATTTCATTATTTTTAGAAAAGTGAAGCCACACTTTGGACCGCCGACGTAAGCTACTCATGTTCGACTCGCGCGGTTATGCCAACACTTCTTCGTTGGTGTTGTTCAGCGGTTTCTTCTTCCGCTCGGCGGACTGTGAATATCGAAACTAGGAATCGAAATTCGAACTTTTGAACGATTCCGGGAAAAATGGAAAGTTAGTCCCGGTTCCAATCGATACTCGATTCTTGATACCCAACCCTACGTGTGACGCCTCATGACTAAAGCTGTGGTGCATGCGAGGGCTTGTGGTGATGTGTGGTGTTGCTGTGTAGATGAAGGTGTGGCAGCAGAGCATGGGCCCCATCTCCACCCCGGACAACATCCCTCGGCTGTTCGACATGGTGCGCGTGAAGGACGAGAGCGTGCGGCCGGCGTTCTACTTCGCGCTCAGGGACACGCTGGTGGCCAGAGATCTGGAGCAGGCCACGCGAGTGGCGTTCCAGAAGGACAAGCGCTGGCGGGTGGTCACGCTGCAGGGCCAGGTCATCGAGCAGGCCGGTGAGTTCACTCTGGGCTAAACACACACTTAACATCAGCCCACTCGACCCCATACTGAACCCGTTCTTCATCATGGGGAAACTGGGGATCTGTTATGTAGGGGTGTCCCATATGGATCAGGATTCGGCACGCATGTGACTCAAAGATTAACTGCTAAATCTAACCGCCATAGAGTGAAAGTTTATCCTTTGGACATGTTTTGTCTTGTCAGTTTACACATTCAAACAATTTTAAACGCGGAAGAAGAGGCGATAATAATAAAACAACAAATACAGCTTTAACAAAGATGACACCATCTTTAATGTCTACAGTGAATGGATAGTGTTTAGGCTTATTTATTCATTTCTGTACCTGAATATTACTGTTAGACTTTTAGTTTCATCTCGGCCTGTAATTTGTGTATTTGTTCTTATTTTATAGCTGACTGCTCCCTTGTTTTCCCTCAGGCACCATGACCGGAGGAGGAGGGCGTGTGATGAAGGGCCGGATGGGCTCCTCCGTCTGCGCTGATGTCACTCAGGAGCAGGTCAGACACCTGAACATTCAACTATGGTCTCTTATTTAGCTCAGTGTGGACACTTACCCACCGATCAATCGCGTGTGACAACTAGGGCTGGGTAATAAATATCGATTTCTCGATATCAATCGATTCTCATTTTTACGAACCGATATCGAGTCTTAAATCTCAAGAATCGATTAGTCATCCTGTTTCATTTGAATGAATGGGATATTGTATCGCGGCTGCGCGCATAAAAAAAAATCGCAATAATCTTTGTCCTTTGTTACTATTGATATGAAACAAAGTCTCAATTTTCAAATTACGTCCATTTTCTTTAGAAATTCAAAAACATAAATAGCGTTTTGCCGCTGTGGCGTGAGATCGCTCTGGAGAAGCAGCAGCGCTGATCTCTCTTCCGGCTTAATAATACCAGTCACAGCGCCAAATAAACATGAGCGAGCATCTGAAAGTGTGTTAAAGATCGAGTACAACTTATCCAAATCCATATCATGTCACATTGATTCGCTCAATCAGCGTTTCAACCGTGGAAAGACGTCAGTTAAACAGCTTGTAATCAATGTATCGTCATATTTACCTCAGAAAACCCACATCAACTCGTTAGTCAGCTAGAAAAAAATAACTCCAGAGAGGAGCATTTTGTTAAATATATAGCCACCATTTAAATGTTTATATTTCATATAATCTTCTTATTATAAAAATAAATAAAAGTGTAATTTAAGTGATTCATTCATTATGACCTTCATATTAGGCTAATGAAGTCTATAGGCTACAACTAGACTCCCATAGTTTACAGCATTTAAGAGATTTGATTCCCTTGAGAAAAAATGCCATTTATTGTAACTGATATCCAAAATAATCGATATTGAATCGAATCGAATTGCAAGCTTGTGAATCGAAATCGAATTGTGAAATTTGTCTCAATACCCAGCCCTAGTGACAACACTGGTAACACCGGCGGGAGGTTAAATCGCTAATTTGAAAGCAAACTAAAATGTGCACGTCCGCACCGGCATTCATAGCCAGCGTTTTCAATTAATTCTTACCATAGGAATGAACTAAAAACCTCGTCGAATCCCATGAGTTGAATACAAAAAGCATCATTTTTTTCGTGGTTTTTACTAAACGTGAAGCCCCATATGTAATCCATATACGGTTGCTGATTTGTAACTTCACAATACACGCTCCGCTTGTGTAAACTGGTGATTTCCAGCATGTGTTTGTGTGCAGCTGGATAAGATGGAGAGCGCCCTGAGCGCGGAGGTGACGCAGCTGCAGGACTGGCAGCAGAGGCGGCAGCAGCTGGAGGAGAAGGTGCACACCGCCCGCTCTCAGCTGAGGGACATGAAGAACACGCTGGAGAAGTACTCCGCCACCATCCAGGTCAGGTCAGGCCCTCGGGGATGAGGCGTGAGCGAGCCTGAGCCGCTGTTAACCTGTCCTGTGCCTTACAGAGCCTGACCGAGCAGGAGCTCCACCTCAAGACGCAGATCAAACAGCTGGAGGCCAACGTCATCTCCGCCGCGCCTGATAAAGCCAAGCAGAAGCAGCTGGAGAAGAGCCTGGCCGGCTACAGGAAAGGTAGGCCTTCCTGTCATGAAGCCATTATAACATTTTAATGACAAATTCAATTAGTACCGCTGTATATATTCATGACACAGTTGTAATGCCTCATGACAGCCAATGTCAAAGCCAACCACATGACAGTTTAATGTAATGTTAACCCATAAAGCTAAGTTTGATCATTAATCTGCTTTGTCATGTGTTGTCTTAGTAAAGTCAAGTTATCATGACAAAGACACTGACAGGTTATGATGTATTGGTTTATGTCAAGGTGTCATAACAAAGACATCTCAAACAATGTCATATTTGCATTTAAAATGTCAAACATGCATAAACTTCCTTCATATTCAAGACATATGTCATGTGATTATGAAGGTGTCATGTCAGTCTTATGCACACCCCTTCAAGTAGTTTAAGTTCAAAGGATCGGCGTTCTCCCCTAACAGTGATTGGGTAGACCGTGAGAAATGGCCCATAACTCCCAAACCGTCAGACAAAAGCACGTGCTGACTGGCAACATAGTGGTGGGAAAAACATTGGCTATAACTGCACGAGTAAGTCTGATTGGCTTGAAAGTTGTGTCTTCTTCCAAGGTGCCCAGACGGCCTGTGAGGACATTCACTAATCTTGAACATGTCCTTCATCGACCAATGAGGTTTGAGCAGCTGTTAGACAAGGTCAACGGAGGCCGATTGAAACGAACGAATGAACTCTTCAACTTGCGGCCTTAGAGGCCTGTGGTAAACTCAAGAGAAACATGGGCCGCCACGGGCAATCAGATCGTGCGTTAAATATCACTTTGGCGAACTCGTCCTAGATTTTTAGCTCAACCTCGATAAAACCCCTGCGGCCCAATTCTCTGGACTCTAGCTCAGTAGTTATCAACTTAAAGGGTTAGTTCACCCAAAAATGAAAATTAAGTCATTAATTACTCACCCCCATGCTGTACCAACCCCGTAAGACCTTCGTTCGTCTTCGGAACACAAATGAAGATATTTTTGATTAAATTTGAGAGCTGTATAACTACCACATTGGCTCCTAAGGGACTGCCTCTTGACGGCCCAGAAAGTCAATGAAGAAAATGTTTAAATATCCCAAGTGACTACCGTGGCTCAACTATATGTTTATCAAGCGACGCGAATACTTTTTGTGCGAAAAAACAAACAAAAATAACGAGTTTATTCGACTATTTCTTTTCTTCCTTGTAGGCCAGAACGAGACTTCCTTAGATTTCCACGACGCATGCGCGAGATTTGCGATCTGAAGTAGTGTAAGCAGATCGCAATTCTCGCGCATGTGTCGTGGAAATCTAAGGAAGTCTGGTCTGGTCTGAGAAAAAAAAATGCAAAAAAGAAAAAGTAAGATTTACCTGGTGTCCTCAACCCATGCGTTGCTATGATTGGCTGTACTCATGACATCACTGAGATTGAGTCGCGCGACTGCTCGAGATATCTAGCATGCTAGATATTTTTCTGAGCTCGGTGACCTGTCTGCGAGGTGTCTGCGAGCTGTCTTTGATGCGTTGTTGGCTCTTTCACACTAACTGATTGGCGAGCGTTAATCGTCCGCTAATCGCCCGCGATTTGCACGCGATAACACCCTGACTTGTCGGCGACTCAACGATTTGCAAATCGGGCTTAAATCGGGCTTAAAATCACGTAGTGTGAACTAGGCTTAAACAAGCATGCAAACCTTTATGGAGATCAGCCCATAGGTGGCGCTGTAACACATTTCCTTAATAAATTACATATATTGGCTGGAAATAGTTTTCCCCATCTATAGTCTAAGTGGTTACTAAATAAAACAATTCATCTTTTTTTGTAGTTCACCCAAAAACGCAAATCATTATAATTCCTGTGTGACTTTGAGTGGAAAGCGAAGTGCAGCGGTGTTAGTAGTGGCGTCTGAGTGATGTAATGATGTGTGTGTCTGTGCTGAAGACTTCGAGGCAGCGTCCAGTAAAGCAGGGAAGGTGGAGGCCGAGGTGAAGCGGCTGCACACACTCATCGTGGACATCAACAGCCACAAGCTGAAGGCCCAGCAGGACAAGCTGGACCAGATCAACACCCAGCTGGACCAGTGCTCCTCCGCCGTCACCAAAGCCCAGGTGGCCATCAAGACTGCCGGACGGTCAGTACACGAACACTGGGTTTCAGGGCCAACTACAAACACTTGATTGCATGATTTCATGTATATCTGGTACAGTAAATATAACATTTCTCTAAAAAACGAATCTTTGCTCTTCTCTAAATAAGAACAGCATTTTCTTTATCGACCGACCAATAAAAGCAATTATTGTCATTGTTGGCCAACGGCAGATTGATATCCTGTCACTCAGAGGTGTGTGTGAAGAACGTGTTGGACTGTAGTCTTGTATTGAGTGTGTGTGTACAGTTGTTTGGCACCATTGACTTCCATAGTTGAAACCAAATACTATGCCAACGGTGCCAAAGCTCCAATCGCTCTTCACAATATCTTCATCTGTGTTCAGCAGAAGACAGAAACTCAGGTTTGCAATAACTTGAGGGTGAGTGAATGATTTTAGGGTGGAGTATCCCTCTAAAGGGGTCATGAACTGGCTTTTAAAATTTTATTATATTGTTGTCTAAGGTCAACTTATGATGTTCACTTGGTTTTTGCATTAAAAAAACATCAAAATCCCCTTTAACCCTTGTGCTGCATTAGATTTTTAACACCGTTGAGTGCATTAAGGACCAAAAATGGCCACATATTAAACATTGCCTAAAATATTATATATTATTATTATTTTCCACTTTTACCAAGTTAAATCTTTTAACCAGCATCAGTCCTCATCATAACTACCAAAAATGTATTCAATTTCAGAATTTTAACCCTTTAATTACCAGTTTTGTTTGCGAAACCATCGATTTGTATAAGAGGAAAAAACACAAAAATTCAATTATTTTCAATAAACTAAATGCAAAGAGAAAACTTTAGATTTGGATTATCACAGTCCCACTTTGCAAAAAATCCCACTTAGCGCGTTAGAGACCAAAAATGGCCACCTATTAAACATTGCCTATTGCCTAAAATAAGGTGCATTTCCACCCATAGGGAATAAATATGTAGTGACGTCATCACTATATAATGCAAATATAATGCTTTTGCTTCAAAATGAAAGGATGTTTGTGCAAAAATCATGTTTCATGTATTACTGACAGCCTCAGATTTAATGGGTTTCAATGGGCCATTTTTGGTCTTTATGGTGCTGAGTGTTACTATTTGATCTACACATTGTGTGTTATACATATTTTGCAAAATGGGATCACCTTTTTTACATGTATCCAAAAAGTCACAATTTTGCCAAATTTCATACCATTTGCATTAAAACAGCCAAAATGGTCAAAGAAATTAAACTGCAAAAGACCAAAAATGTCCCTAATGCAGCATAAGGGTTGAAGTAAATCAGCAGATAAGACGTCTCGATTCGTTCAGGTCCATGCAGGAAGAGTGTGCTATGACCACTCCATGAACAGGGTGAGTTTTCAGAGATAGATGGTTTGATGCGTGCTCTGGTCCGCAGTAACCTGAAGAAGTCTGAGGAGAGTGTGTGTCAGCTGGAGCAGGAGATGGGCGAGAACGCGGCGCTGATGGAGCAGCTGACGGAGCAGCTGAAGAAGCTGGAGGAGCAGGCCGGAGACATCATGCACACCTACCAGCAGGCCGAGGTACTGCCCGCTCCCGTCCTCCGGCTCTGACTGTGCACACGGCGAGGGCTGACTGTGTGTGTGTGTGTGTGTAGGAGGCTCTGCCGGAGCTCCAGGAGCAGCACCGCGGCGTGCTTCAGGAGATCAAGGCCCTGCAGGAGCAGGAGCACGCGCTGCAGAAGGAGTCCCTGAGCGTGCGGCTGAAGGTGGAGCACATCGACACAGCCATCGCAGAGTGCCACAGCAAGATCCGACACTGGGAGAAGGAGGTACTGACCACTCACACACACATGCCTCACAACAGCACTGGGTGTGTTCAGATGTGTAGCACTGAGGGATCGATCGGAGTTTCGGTGTCCCGTGTAGACGGCATCATTGATTATAACAGCTGTTTTGGAGAAAGTAAAAGCTTCCTCACAAAGCAGGTATTATAAAACGGATTCTGATTGGATGAGCTGTGTTCAAAGCTGTTGTAAATGACCTCACACACACCTGTGAGCTCATTACATAAGTGTCTCTCACACACACACACACTGCCGGGCCTGTGGATTGCTCCTCTTTCCCCCAGTAGTGTTAATTTTACCAGCCATTTTTAAATTTAGTTTCAGTTTTAGTCCAGTTTCAGCATCGCTTGTTAGTTTTTATCACATTTAGTCGACATCATCCCATTTTTATTTAGTCTAGTTTTAGTCGACTATAAGTCGAGCATTTTAGTCTTTATTTTAGTCCAAGAAAACATAATTTTATTCGTTTAGTTTTAGTCGAAAAAAACTGTCAACATTTTAGTCTAGTTTTAGTCAGGACATCATTTTAACCTTTTACTTTGTTTGTCAGCAGATAATATTTAACATTTCCTAAAATTATTTCACATTTCAACATTTTCTCTCATCTTTTTGATAAAAAACACAATTTTAAGGAACACATGCAGACATGGAAGATGTACTGACAATATTTTCATATTTATTTTGAACATTGTTAAGGTTCAAAGACACAAACACAAATGCTTGCATTAAAACAAATAAAATACACCTGACAAAGGAAACAAATAAATAAAATAAAGTGTATTATGAACTTAACACAAGTGCTGGCTGTTTAAAGCTAGTTCACATAGAATAAAAAAATAAATAGATTTGAGGTCAATGTTGTGAAAAAAAAAAAAAACTCCAACTGATACAACAAAAGTGCTTTCCTGCCAGCTAGTTCACATGGTATATAAAGGCACAGTATTTAAGGTGAAACAAGGCATAGATTGCTAGAACGTATGAAATCTTTTTAAAGCGTCTGTCTGCTTTAATCAAATTTAACTGAAACTATAGTTGCCCGGCCAGTATAACATATCTAAGTTAGCATAAATTTAACTTCACATACAATTCTATCAACAAGTGGCTACGGTCGCTACGTGCTAAGAAGCTAACGCAACATAGCCAGCCTGGATACTAAATGCTATGAAAGTTAGCCATCATTAGTTAGTTTATCATTGTAACAAAATGTGTTCATATATTACGTCTCTTCTTTCTCACGAGCCCCGTGCAAAGCATGTTTACTTTTAACCTGTCGCCGCCGCCTCACCGTGAATCCAGCTCCTGTCTGCTCCATGTTGTGTCGGCTACTCTGACTGACTGTGCCCGCCCGCTCCAGGTTTGAAAGTGGGTGGGTGTGTGGCGGAAGAGCTGACGAGGAGGAGGAGGAGGAGGAGACAGGATTTGACAAAACCATATCATATAATAATATGTAATTTTCGTCTCGTCTTTGTTCGTGAACTAAAATGTCCATAGATTTTAGCCCAGTCTTTATTTACCGAACTGCATTTTCGTCTCGTCTTTATTAGTCTACGAAAATTATTTCTGATTTACTCCCAGTTATTGTTTATTAGTGGGGATTTTAGTCTCGTCTCGTCTAGTTTTCGTTCGGTGAAAAATGTGCGTTGACGAAAATATTTTCGTTTAGTTTTCGTTAACGAAATTAACACTATCCCCCAGTGTAGGGTGTAATGTGTTTGTCTGTCCTGCCCTCCCTCTCTCTCTCGCTCAGGCCGGCCGGCTGGCGCTGCACCCCATGGACGGCTCTCCCCCAGAGGAGCTGCCGACGCTGACCCCGGATCAGCTGGCGGACCTCGGCAGCCCCGACGTCATCAAGAACGAGATCGCTCTGCTGGAGGACCGCTGCGCCAACATGAAGCCCAACCTGGGGGCCATCGCCGAGTTCAAGAAGAAGGTGCGTGCTCCTGCTCCAGCCCTCAGCACTCGTCCAGCGGTTAGCTTTAGGGCGCTCTAATGATGCGCGACAGTGAACCGGCCAGCTGTTCGCATGAATGACCTCAGGGCTCGACATTAGGCTAGCGCTTGTCCAGGACAAGAGGACTCTTTGAAGGGTCAAGTGGAAGATGATTTTACTTGCCCGACCGGACAAGCTTGACTTCTGTGATGAAACATCGAAACGCAAGAATGATTGTGATTTTATCACATTCAACGTAAACAGCGGCTGACAATGGGGAGGGTATTTGTGCTGACAGCGTCGCGTTGAGGATCTGTAGATAGAGAGACGTTCACGGAGAAATCAAAACTAATGAGTGAAACGGCACACAGAAAACTCACTGAAGAAATTAGAGATAAACATTCAAATTATAGTTTTATTTATCACATGTGATTTGGTTTATCATAGCACAACTAAGACAGCTGATTTGCTGAATATTATCACGAATGTTACATTGGATTTATAGTTCAATAAACAAGTAGCGCAGTTAATATTTATTATTCAGTGAATTATTTGATTGACAGTCCTGTGGTGTCTTATTATTAGTGAATTTTTTTATCAAATGTAAGAGTTTGACATGAAAGATGATGCATACATTTTAATAAGGTAATAAAAGTTCTCTTAATAAAAATAAATAATACTCTGGGGTAAATTTCACAAATATGAAGATTTAAGTATGTAATATCTAAAAATATTGCTTCAGAAATAATATTTACACCACCAAACTATCCCCGTACATGGTACAGTTCACACACCCCGCCCAGCCTGTATCAGCCCAGATTTACATGTGTATGTGTGTGTGTGTAGGAGGAGCTGTACCTGCAGAGGGTGGCGGAGCTGGATGACATCACCACACAGAGAGACGCCTTCAAGAGAGGCTGTGAGGACCTGCGCAAGCAGCGGCTGCACGAGTTCATGGCCGGCTTCAACATCATCACCAACAAGCTGAAGGAGAACTACCAGATGCTCACGCTAGGGGGCGACGCCGAGCTGGAGCTGGTGGACAGCCTGGACCCCTTCTCTGAGGGCATCATGTTCAGGTGTGCATGATATAACACATGGCGCTCGCTTTGTGTCATTGTGTCAACGTGTGTGTGGAGAACGTCTGCCCGTCATACTAATGCTACGTTCACACCGGACGCGAATAGGGCGTCAGGCGCGAATGATTTCAATGTTAAGTCAATGCAAAGACGCTTTACGCGCGTGAAAAATTCCTGCGGCGCGAATGAGGCGTGGAGCGCGGCGCGGAAGATGCGAATACGCCTCGTTCGTGCGAATGGCGCGAATTGAGCGTCTGGCGCGTGAAGCGCGTATGATTCAGTTAGTGTCATTTGTGCATTCACGCATTTGACGCGAATTCGCGTCTGCCACCCGAGTTGAAAAATCTGAACTTTGGTGTGAATTCGCGCCGCGTTAACCAATCAGGAGCCTAGCTGCTTGCTCACGTGGTGAAGTTTCTGGATGCTTCAATAAATTATTTTGTTAATATGACTAAATGCATGGTGGGATTATGCACAACAAAGCAAATGTTTTATCACTTAAAACATTATTTCTATATACGAGACATGTTCATTTTGTATTGAATGTTATTCATTCCATAGTTAGATAATATGAAATAGTATTATGTTGTAAAGACAATCAACATATGTGCATAAATTCGTGTCTGGACGTGAGAGAGAGAAAAAAATCACAGGACAGGTTAATAACTTTTGAAGGCTGGCTCTATTTATTATCAAAACAAAAATAAATGACAGCTAGATTAGATGGATGAGGGGCCGGGCGAGGGTGATCCTCGATCCGATGCGGGACAACAGGTCATCAAACTGGGCGCGTGACAGGCGGAAGTACCGCTGACAGCGGCCGTCATCCAGCGCAGCTCCTGGAGCGAGCAAATGGTGAAACTCGCCAAACGGTTCGGCTCCGAAGGGTCCGGTGGACACAAATATACGGCGACGATGATCCCCACGCCGCTGTTCTGCTATCCAGAGTAAATACAGAGCGGTAACTCTCTTGATGAATGCTCGGTCGACATAAAAACAATGGCCGCCAACGGATTTCGATTCTGACGCGCGTAAATTTCGCTTCAAACTTTTGTTTTTACCCGCGCCAGTTTCGCTCTTGACACGCGAATTAACACAAAGTGGTCAAGCGTCAAACTAGACGCGTCAGGCACGTATTTGACGCGCGATTCACGTCCGGTGTGAACGTAGCATTAGAGGGATGGTTCGGTGTAAAATCAAATGTTTGAATGGTTCTTTAAAGGCTGAAGGCATGCAGAGCGCTGAGAGCATTAACCCAACATAAACAAACTAATACATAATGATGAAACACTCTTTCTGGATTTTATCAGCCTATTTTGTCTTTTAGCCGATTGTATAATCACAATAAATAACAATACACTTTAATGGCAAAGGTATATCTATCACTAGGACACCAGATGTATGGTACTGACAGAAATTCAGCATTAGAACAGTAGGCTGATGAACCGTGCCAAAACAAGCAGGATTATGATGATTTCTGTAAAAGCAATTGAGAAAATAAGGGGAAATGTACACTTTCACACGCATGTTACACACAAATATACAGTCAAGAGGACACTGAAGGCAAACAGTGTGTGCACAGGGATTTGGTGAATGTGTGGTCATGATGTTCCCGAATCAACATCCTTTATGATCATTTGAGATTTAAGGAATATTAATATCAGTTTCAGGCTATAACCAATGCAGTGCCTGAGCTCCTGGTAAACTTTACACAACCTATAAATGTTTGAGTGTTGGTCTTTTTCATTTCAAATAAAATGAGCATAGCCTAGTTTGTTCACTTTCGCTATAATCTATTCACACTTTAAATAAAATACATTACTAAATGTAATGTAAAATAGTCTTATTTGTCATAAAGGAAAGATTGAATCCAAATTCTTCTCATAGCCTATTTAGAAAGTGGAAATGGTCAATAAAGGCTCCTCTACTGCCACCTACTGATTAAAGTGTTCGTCTCGTTCTGCTTAAAGTGTGTGTTTTTCCTGCAGGTGAAAGCGGTGCAGCGTTTGCTCCTCTGTTTGTATCTGATGTTGTCCTGTGTGCTCCTAGTGTGCGTCCTCCTAAGAAGAGCTGGAAGAAGATCTACAACCTGTCGGGAGGAGAGAAGACGCTCAGCTCTCTGGCGCTGGTGTTCGCCCTGCACCACTTCAAGCCCACGCCGCTCTACTTCATGGACGAGATCGACGCCGCGCTCGATTTCAAGAACGTCTCCATCGTGGCCTGCTACATTTACGTATGTGCCCTCCCCACTCACCACCAAAGATTTTTTTTATTATTTAAAGCCATAAAAGCACCACCACTAGCCTAGCTTAGCACAAAGACTGGATGTAAATGGCTACAGCTAGCATACTAATCCCAATAAGTGACAAAATAATGCAAACATTTTCCTATTTACTTGATGTGATTTGTATAGTCACAGAGTGTAGAAATAACGAGGTCTTTAGAAAGTGTGCTGCTACTCTGTATTATCAAGACCAGCACATTGAAACATCCCCCGTTGCATTATAATCACTTTATTATATAATTTGTGTATTTTTTGACAGCTGGTACTGACATCATGCATGTGGTGAGCGCTGAATAAAGGCTTAAACAGTCTAAAATGTTATTGATCAGATCACTGACACCACACAGAAGTGGCAATCTCTGATGAAAACATGAAGCACATGTAGAGGAAACGCTCATGCGTAACTCCTCTCTGATTGGTCCGTTAGACTGGGAATAAGCCCAGCACAGCTGTAACTGTCCTCTTCCCGCACTGTTTCAGGAACAGACCAAGAATGCTCAGTTCATCATCATCTCCCTGAGGAACAACATGTTTGAGATGGCCGACCGGCTCATCGGCATCTATAAGACGCACAACACCACCAAGAACGTGGCCATCAACCCCAAGACCATCGTGCTGCGCGAGATCGAGACGGCCTGAGTGCTGCTCTCGAACGGGTCTCACACTTAACCTCTGCTTGCTCCTTTAGCCGCCTTAATGACTTTTTACTCTAGTGTAGTAGGTGTAACATGCAATGTCATCATGTTCTCACTGCACATGTTTTAAATGAACATTAAATGTACTGTTTTGAGTTCTGACTCTGTCACGTCTGTTCTACAACTTAATGTGCATGTGAACGCCATCAGCGTTTATCACAGGTTTACTCTCTCACAGGTTGGGTCACCTGATGGAGTTTTAGGACACCATTGGGTCACTTGATGGAGTTTTAGGACACCATTGGGTCACCTGATGGAGTTTTAGGACACCATTGGGTCACCTGATGGAGTTTTAGGACACCATTGGGTCACTTGATGGAGTTTTAGGACACCATTGGGTCACCTGATGGAGTTTTAGGACACCGTTGGGTCACCTGATGGAGTTTTAGGACACCGTTGGGTCACCTGATGGAGTTTTAGGACACCATTAGGTCACCTGATGGAGTTTTAGGACACCATTGGGTCACCTGATGGAGTTTTAGGACACCATTGGGTCACCTGATGGAGTTTTAGGACACCATTGGGTCACCTGATGGAGTTTTAGGACACCATTGGGTCCCCTGATGGAGTTATAGGACACCATTGGGTCACCTGATGGAGTTTTAGGACACCGTTGGGTCACCTGATGGAGTTTTAGGACACCATTGGGTCACCTGATGGAGTTTTAGGACACCGTTGGGTCACCTGATGGAGTTTTAGGACACCGTTGGGTCACCTGATGGAGTTTTAGGACACCATTGGGTCACCTGATGGAGTTTTAGGACACCGTTGGGTCCCCTGATGGAGTTTTAGGACACCGTTGGGTCACCTGATGGAGTTTTAGGACACCATTGGGTCACCTGATGGAGTTTTAGGACACCGTTGGGTCACCTGATGGAGTTTTAGGACACCGTTGGGTCACCTGATGGAGTTTTAGGACACCGTTGGGTCGCCTGATGGAGTTTTAGGACACCGTTGGGTCGCCTGATGGAGTTTTAGGACACCGTTGGGTCGCCTGATGGAGTTTTAGGACACCGTTGGGTCGCCTGATGGAGTTTTAGGACACCGTTGGGTCGCCTGATGGAGTTTTAGGACACCGTTGGGTCGCCTGATGGAGTTTTAGGACACCGTTGGGTCGCCTGATGGAGTTTTAGGACACCCTTGGGTCACCTGATGGAGTTTTAGGACACCCTTGGGTCACCTGATGGAGTTTTAGGACACCGTTGGGTCACCTGATGGAGTTTTAGGACACCATTGGGTCACCTGATGGAGTTTTAGGACACCGTTGGGTCACCTGATGGAGTTTTAGGACACCATTGGGTCACCTGATGGAGTTTTAGGACACCGTTGGGTCACCTGATGGAGTTTTAGGACACCGTTGGGTCACCTGATGGAGTTTTAGGACACCGTTGGGTCACCTGATGGAGTTTTAGGACACCATTGGGTCACCTGATGGAGTTTTAGGACACCGTTGGGTCACCTGATGGAGTTTTAGGACACCGTTGGGTCACCTGATGGAGTTTTAGGACACCGTTGGGTCACCTGATGGAGTTTTAGGACACCGTTGGGTCACCTGATGGAGTTTTAGGACACCATTGAGTCACCTGATGGAGTTTTAGGACACCATTGGGTCACCTGATGGAGTTTTAGGACACCGTTGGGTCACCTGATGGAGTTTTAGGACACCATTGGGTCACCTGATGGAGTTTTAGGACACTGTTGGGTCACCTGATGGAGTTTTAGGACACCGTTGGGTCACCTGATGGAGTTTTAGGACACCGTTGGGTCACCTGATGGAGTTTTAGGACACCGTTGGGTCACCTGATGGAGTTTTAGGACACCGTTGGGTCACCTGATGGAGTTTTAGGACACCGTTGGGTCACCTGATGGAGTTTTAGGACACCGTTGGGTCACTTGATGGAGTTTTAGGACACCGTTGGGTCACCTGATGGAGTTTTAGGACACCGTTGGGTCACCTGATGGAGTTTTAGGACACCGTTGGGTCACCTGATGGAGTTTTAGGACACCGTTGGGTCACCTGATGGAGTTTTAGGACACCGTTGGGTCACCTGATGGAGTTTTAGGACACCGTTGGGTCGCCTGATGGAGTTTTAGGACACCCTTGGGTCGCCTGATGGAGTTTTAGGACACCATTGGGTCGCCTGATGGAGTTTTAGGACACCGTTGGGTCACCTGATAGAGTTTTAGGACACCGTTGGGTCACCTGATGGAGTTTTAGGACACCGTTGGGTCACCTGATGGAGTTTTAGGACACCGTTGGGTCACCTGATGGAGTTTTAGGACACCGTTGGGTCACCTGATGGAGTTTTAGGACACCGTTGGGTCACCTGATGGAGTTTTAGGACACCATTGGGTCACCTGATGGAGTTTTAGGACACCATTGGGTCACTTGATGGAGTTTTAGGACACCATTGGGTCACCTGATGGAGTTTTAGGACACCATTGGGTCACTTGATGGAGTTTTAGGACACCGTTGGGTCACTTGATGGAGTTTTAGGACACCGTTGGGTCACCTGATGGAGTTTTAGGACACCATTGGCTCACCTGATGGAGTTTTAGGACACCGTTGGGTCACCTGATGGAGTTTTAGGACACCATTGGCTCACCTGATGGAGTTTTAGGACACCGTTGGGTCACTTGATGGAGTTTTAGGACACCGTTGGGTCACTTGATGGAGTTTTAGGACACCGTTGGGTCACCTGATGGAGTTTAGGACACCATTGGCTCACCTGATGGAGTTTAGGACACCATTGGGTCACTTGATGGAGGTTTAGGACACCATTGGGTCACCTGATGGAGTTTTAGGACACCATTGGCTCACCTGATGGAGTTTAGGACACCATTGGGTCACCTGATGGAGTTTTAGGACACCATTGGCTCACCTGATGGAGTTTAGGACACCATTGGGTCACCTGATGGAGTTTTAGGACACCATTGGCTCACCTGATGGAGTTTAGGACACCATTGGGTCACCTGATGGAGTTTTAGGACACCGTTGGGTCACCTGATGGAGTTTTAAGACACCCTTGGGTCACCTGATGGAGTTTTTCGGTTCCTTGCCACTGTTGCAAGCCAATCAGTAATACCCCTGATCACCTCTACCAAACGTGCATGTTTTTCCACTTAGAAACGAACATTGTTATTATGGTAAATGGACTGCATTTATATAGCGCCTTCATAGACTTAATGGCCACCAAAGCGCTTTACAGTTTGCCTCACATTCACCCATTCACACACTCTTTCACACACTGACGGCGGTGTCAGCCATGCAAGGCGCCATCCAGCTCGTCGGGAGCAGCTGGGGTTAGGTGTCTTTCTCATGGACACCTCGACACTTGGTCAGGTGGAACCGAGGATTGAACCACCAACCTTTCAGTTCGTAGACAACCCACATGAACCACTGAGCCACTGCCGTTATTATGTTTTGATCGATACTGTGAAGCATATTGTGAAAAGATCTATAATGTGAAAAGCGCTATATAAATATACTTGACAACACTACAGCACGGATGCTGTGAGCCTGAGCTGTTTGCTGACACTTCTGTCTTAAATCACCAGAGGACACCTCAGAAGAGCTTTATTCATCTTTAGCTCTGGAACCATTCAACACAATCTGAGCGACCAAAGGGATAATATTACTATTTCTTCAGGTAGTCATGTTTTTTAGCTGGTATATATTTTTATTACTAAAAACAAAGACTGAATGGAAAAATTAGTAATGTACAAAGAGTTCATAAATGTCATCCCACACATGTTGAAAGCTGGATTCAGGCATCTCATTGTGCTCATGTAGTCAGTGAGTCCACAATGTCTGTCTGATGCATCATGGGTAATGTAGTTTGTGTGCGGTATGGCTACAGCAGACTGGAAGCCGTTCTTCTGAGCTGAAGTGCATTAGTTGTCTGATCAGCTGGTGTTAAAGGGGTCGTGCCGTGAGGAGTCGGGATTGCCCTGATCTTCTGAGTGGTCCTTGTACTATAAAAATAAGTTCAAGACTGGTTCAAAAATACTATTTGTTGACATTAAGCTGCCAAAACAATGTTTGTACTTCCTGCACATTGAGCCGTGTCACTGGAGGATGTTAGCGTCTGACTAGCTCACCACGCTAGCTTCAGCTAATCACCCCTGTGGAGCGAGGGCGTTCATTGTAGAGATAGAGACATTTGTTGGAGATGAAGTGACCTGTCCTGAATCTGACTGCTGCTACATCACAAAGCTGAACTATAAACTGTTCCATAATACTGTGTCTATAAGTACTAGTTTTATGTTTATAGAGGTTTTCAAAACATCCATAGCTAATTTATTAATTGATACTTTTAAAAGAAATCGTTTTAAAATGATTTGAACCTCAAGGAACATGTTCAGACATTAGTGTTGTGACCCCTTTAACTCTTTCCCCTCATTGAGGGCTTCTCTGGGTACCCGAGTTTCCACTATTATACGGTAGGGGGCGCTATTACACATCTAACGAAAGAGCACAGCATCTCCTGATCAAAACACCGGAGAGATGGAAGCAGAAACATGTGCGTGTAAGATAACTGAAAATCGGACATATAAATCTAAACTGGTTCACGTTACTGAAAGAAATGTGGCTACAGGACTGAAGCTTTAGGTGTTGATGGACTCCATCTACTCCATCTGTTTTCCTCATCTCTGAATCTGATCCACATATAGTCTTTGACAAACAAATTCAAAATTAGAATATTGTGAACAGGTTTTCATAAGCTGTGAGCCATAATCATCTAAATTATAACAAATAAAGGCTTGAAATATCTCACGTTGCATGTAATGAGTCTATAGTTTCACCAAGTTGAATTACTGAAATAAATGAACTTTTGCACCATATTCTAATTTTTCGAGTTTCACCTGTATAATATTCTGGGGGCCATGAAACACTTGTAAACACATGCTGGAACGGCACTAACTGGTGAACATTCAGTGTATGCGGATCAATGTACTACACTCCTGCACTGTTGGCCTCGTTCTTCAAATGAGCAAAACAAACGTGTGCAAACGGTTTCGCCCAGAAGCTCCTTGCGTTTGTTTCTCCCGAAGGTTGTGCGTCTGCTGTGTTTAACACCAATGTAGTGTTTTGAGAAAGCTGAGCAGATCCTGGTAGATGTTTTCTCCTAGAGTAGCCGTAAAAGTGTGTAATGTCATGATAGAGTTGTGTATGGGACCGAAGAGGAGCGTCCCGACGCCACGGAGCGGTTCTTCAGCACAGTGGTGTAAACACAGGCCTGTGAGCAGCAGCATCGCGATCAGGACCGCAGCGGATGAGGACGAGCGGAGACGCCGGCACTGAGCCGGACCGCAGATCTCCGGGACCGGCCCGTCGCCCAGCCCTCGGATGCTCAGGCCGCACCAGTGCTCCCGCAGGAAGGGCTCGGCCCGCGGCGTCAACTGAACGCTGGGGATCTCCGGCAGCGGCGTCCGCATCAGAGCCTCCACTCGCTCCCTCAGCTCACGCACCGTCTCCAGATACACCAGCGGACTCTCCTCGCTCTCCACGCCGGAGCTGAGCGCCATCACCGCGCCGTGCTCCTCCTGGAGCCGCTCCAGCTGCTCGACGAGCGGGTCGTACGCACACGCCAGCCGAGCGCTCGCCCGCTCCAGAGTCTGCAGGAACTCCTCCCGCTTACGAGCCAAGACCAACTCCAGGTTGTGGAAGAACTGGGCCGTGAACTCGCGGTCGTCTTGGATCAGGCCCTCGCTCCGCTTCTTCTCCAGCCGCAGGCGCTGTGTGAGCGAGCAGACGTCCTCCCAGCGCTCGCCGCTCAACCGCTCCATCAACCGGGCCTGTCCCGCGCGCTCCCTCGCGTGTGCCGTCTGCAGGTCGTCGATGGCGTGTCCTCGGTGCCGGCCCACGGTGAGGCAGACGCCGCAGATGAGCTGCCGGTCCTGGACGCAGTAGACGTTGAGCGGCTGCGGGGGGTGTTCGGGGCAGGCGGCGGAGCGCGGCCGCTGGTACTTCTCCACGATGGCGCTCAGGCACACGTTGGTGGGCAGCGCGTCCAGGCCGTTGGTGGGCAGCTCCGCCACGCTGCGGCAGCTCGGACACTTGAGCGGCAGGCGCAACGGACGCCAGATGGAGACGTCCACGGACACCTGCATCACTCGCTCCAGACAGCTTTTGCAGAAGGTGTGCGAGCAGGGCAGGACCCGCGGGTCTGTGAAGAGGCCGTAGCACACCGAACACGTCAGATCCTCCTCCAGATCGTCCATGACGGCCGCTTCTCCTGCGGAGGGACGGGGAGCGGCGTTAGTGCATGTGCTGGTTCTCAGGTTTCATCTCAGTGTGTCATGTTTGGCTGGTGAACTGTCAGTTAAAGGGGTACTCCACTTTTTCTGGAAATAGGCTCATTTTACAACTCCGCCAGAGTTAAACTGTTGAGTTTTATTGTTTTTTGAATCCATTCAGCCGATCTCCGGTTCTTGCGGCACCACTTTTAGCATAGCTTAGCATACATCATTGAAGTGCACAAGACAATTAGCATTTCTCCCAAAAAATTACCAAAGTGTTTCGATATTTTTCCTATTTAAAACTTGACTCTTCTATAGTTACATCGTGCAGTAAGACAGACGGAAGATGTAAAGTTGTGATTTTCTAGGCTGATATGACTAGGAACTATACTCTCATTCCTGCGTAATAATCAGGAAACTTCACTGCCGTACCACGAGTGCAGCAGGCGAAATGATATGACGCAGCGCCTGAAAATAGTGCCCAGCTTCCAACGTGACCGGGACTAAGTTTGTTTAGTCATTGCGCCTGCTGCACTCATGGTGCGGTAGTGAGTTTCTTGATCATTACGCAGGAATGAGAGTACAGTTCCCTGCATATCTGCCTAGAAAATCGCAACTTTACATTTTCCGTCTGTCTTACTGCACGATGTAACTACAGAAGAGTCAAGTTTTAAATAGGAAAAATATCGAAACACTTTGGTCATTTTTTTGGGAGAAATGCTAATTGTCTTGTGCACTTCAATGATGTATGTTAAGCTACGCTAAAAGTCGTGCCGCCAGAACCGGAGATCGGCTGAATGGATTCAAAAAAGGTAAAACTCAACAGTTTAACTCTGGCGGAGTTGTAAAATGAGCCTATTTCCCAAAAAAAGTGGAGTACCCCTTTAAGGCTTTATTTTCATTAAAGTGGTCCTAATTAACTTTTCACAAGATGTAAAATAAGTCTTTGATGTCTCCAGAGTGTGTGTGTGAAGTTTAAGCTCAAAATACCCCACAGATAATTGTAGCATGGTAAAATTGTCACTTTTGAAAGTGAGTAAAAAACAAAAGTTTTTGTGTCCCTTTAAATGTAAATGAGGTGCTGCTCCTCGCACAGGGGGAGGAGCTACAAGAGCTTGAGTGCGTGTGTTAGTAGCTCTGATTACCACTCACACTGAACATTTAAAAAATGTTTAGCCTTTTATATTCAAACCACAGTCGGACAATGGGGAGACTCAAGAAGTGACATCATGTAGAAGCAACAGGACGTTTTTGTCACGATAATCTATGAATCGCATTCCCGTGGGAGGGCTTTACGTAAATCTTAGGGTTGGTGATGTCACTAACCCGGGAGGAATGTCTGTAGTCCCTACCAGCCGTTTGTTGTAGTCCTTAAACGATTTCTATAAAAGTAAAAAATCTCCCTTTGCTTTGAACTTTGAGCATCATAACCGCAGATGTTGTTTATGCTCAAACAGCAACACTAATTTTAAGTCGCTTACATTTTAGATGCAATATTGACTGTTTTTGTTCTATTTCAGCAGCGAAAATAGTTCCAACAACAGCAGAACCACCACGGCAACACTCAACCGCGTTTCATTACTGAATGATTCAGCGTTTTGAAACAATCGTCAAAGATTCAACGACTCATTCATAAACGACTGCCTCTTTCTTGAATGAATCACCCGTTTGAATAACTCTCTCATTAAGATCATCAGTCGCCACCTACTGGCGGTTTAGTTTCGTGTTAAGTTTAATTTCTTTTTGTATTTAAAAACAAATTACTTTAAAAGCTAAATTTAAGAATTTAAAATGAAAAATGCGTATATTTAAAATGAGTAGGGGAAGATGTCCTTTATAAATATAATAAATATGTAGATTTAAATATTTCAAAGCTGATCAAAAACTGATGAGAATATTTCTTGAAAATAAATGTATATTTAAAACACAAAAAAAGCCTTCCGTTCCTCTTCGAAGCACAACCTGAGAGACTCCGGTCCCTCCATCGAAGGTTCATCAGTCGAATCCTTGACACAAGTTCATAAAGGGTTGGTGAAAATAATCCATATGAGCCAAGCGGTTTAATGTTAATGCATGGTCAACGCCATAGACATGTACACTATATGTCACCATGGCTACGGCAGTACAATGGAACGAATGCGTCAATAGAGCCACCATCTTGAAACAAGGGAGCCCCTCCACTTTAATGCATCAACATCAATGTTGAAACAGGTCTAACGGAAGTAAAATCATCATGAATGCGATTTTTCTGTTTTTTTTTTTTTTGTTTGTTTGTTCCAACAGTCAGACATGTATTTATCATAGATTCCAGAAAAAATTGTTTTTTTTTTTAAACATTCTTCCTAGTTCAGATTTCATCCGTGAACATCATACGCTGCACAGAAGTCCGCCACCATCAATGAATTCGAAGATAGCAGCGTTACCTAGCTACTTCCTATGACAAGACCCCTGTTCCAAGATGGCGGCGGTTTTGACGCATGCTTAGAACTCCAAGGTGACGTCTAGTGTATATGTCTATGTCAATGAAAGTCATATGGATTTGGAACTACATGATGAGAGCCACTGAATTTACATTTGTTGGGTGAACAATTTCTTTAACATGATTTTTACCGTGCTGTCTTCATTTTTCTGCCATTTAAATGGCTTTTTATCCTGGAGTCTTGTTTATTAAAAATATATATTTTTCCATACAGTATTTTTTTAACACTATCAACAAGACTGCTGTCTCTATTTTATTCCTGTCATTTCCATTATAAAATGAAAGATGATGTGTGTGTGTGTGTGAGAGAGAGAGATTTTTCACAGCATATTTCTTCAATTATGGATACTTTATGTAGACTTTGACACTGAACTCTCCAAAAACTATATTCACACTCACTAATTAAATTAGTTTACTAGCATTGTGGACATTCATGTCTGAATCACACACACACACACACACACACACACACAGCGAGTCAGCCGCGGTGGCCCTGGCCTGCAGTCCGACTGGAGAGACTTGAGCTCTGAAGGTGAAGCGTAAACACATGATTAACTTAGTTATATTTGTGATAATTGTATAGTACGCTAAAGATGTAATAATTGTATAGTATGCTAAAGATGCTATCATGATTAAACAATAACTATTGTAGTTTAGCAGTGTTTTTGTGTCTGCCAAAAAAACATCCTAACACACATACAAATAACATTACTACTTACATCAGTGAGTGCATGTTTATAAAGTACAATAACGGTGGAAATGTATATTTGTTTGTTTTATTGAATCAAATCGAGGTCATCATCCTCTGTCGTGAAGTGACAACTTGCAGTAACGTTAGTGATGTAACGTTATACTGAAAACAGCGTGACATTTAAAACAAAAACTAGCAAAAGTTCTTCAAACACCTTTAGCGTGCTATTTAGCATACACATATTAGGTTAAATTCGATTAAAACAGAAATAAGTGCTAAACTGACCGTCATAAAGAGCACGAGTCCACCGGAATAAAAAAACACGACACGCGCATGCGCGACCTCTACTTTCCACCGATCACATCTCTTGATTCAACATGTCTTGAGACGAGAAACGTGATTGGTGGAAAGTTGCTATTGTTTATGTGTGAGAGAGAAAATAGATGAAACAGTCATAGTTAGATTCTTGCTGTTCTGCAGAACTTCTAATCTGTGCAGTACGCCCTCTGGCCAAACTCAGACATCACAGCTCTACTAGTAATTATGAAATATAAGGACATATTTTCAATAATATTGATGATTATACAGTAATATTCTTACCTGGTTACATTTTTTCATAAATTATGAGCAAGACGGCTTGTAGGTGTAAAGCGCCTTTCAGGTGTAAGAAAAAAAGATTTGGAACAGTTGACTGTTTTATGTGTAAATTAGATCATTTTCCCACAGAATAAAAAAAATATATATATAAAAAATAATTAATCGCAATTAACTTTTGCACAGCCCTAATATATAGGCTATTAGGGCTGTGCAAAAGTTAATTGCGATTAATCGTATCCAAAATAAAAGTCTGTTTTACATAATATATTTGAGTGTGCTGTATATAATTATTTTGTATATATAAATACTTATGCATGCATGTATACATTTAAGAATTATTTGCGCTTAAATTCTGTATATATATATAAATACATAATCTATATTATATAAATATATTATATAGGAATAACACATTTTCTTAAACATAAAATATATATATATATATATATATATATATATATATATATATATGTAATGTCACTTTCATGTGGACGTGTGAAAGTGACGTGAGATTGAATGCACTGAAAAGCCCTTGCGCTACTCATATACTGAGAGAGAGGTAAGACCTATAAAAATATACACCACAATATAAAACAAGATAAATAAGAACACACAACATGGGCTACATATAAATTTAAAATATTAATATATACCATTCTGAGTATTTAACAATCTGAGTGTACAAGGGATAAATTAATATTTGTATAATTTTTCTTCACCTTTGATCGTTCTATAGCAAGAGCAGTGCAAAAAATTCAGGAGAACTGTTGAATAAAACTGACAGACTTCTTTCTGGTATTCACATCAAACTGCAGTTTATTGTAAATAATACTCCCTAAATATGAATAACTTTCCACACACTCCACCTTATTTGCTATTTTTTTCATCAACCTCATTGTGCATTTGTCATTACAGATTTACATTATTAAACATTCAGAAATGTAAACGGTGTCTTAGTTCGCCTATTAATCATTAAAAACCAGCCAGCGGTTCCCATGAGGAAAACAGCGTATAAATCACACTAAGTAATGTTTTTTGAAAATGTAAAAATGCAGAATGTTTCCTGTGAGGGGTAGGTTTAGGCATAGGGGCAGGATAAGGGGATGGAATACAGTTTCTACAGTATAAAAACACGAAATCACTTTCACACTGAATTCTAAATTCTTCACAGAATTTTGAATTGTTAGTAAACTCTTCTATTTGTATTTACACTGTTAATTTGTACAATTACATAGTACAAGTACTATTTTGATGTTTTATAATTAATCTATGTATTCCAAGCTTTGCCAATAACTTTGCCAATATTGATGTACAGTCAGAGAGAGAGAGAGAGAGAGAGAGAGAGAGAGAGAGAGAGACGAATCTGCCGTCTCTTTTTTTTCATTCCTAGCGATGGTTTTGGCAAAGGTGAATTTGGGCTTTCCGCCAAACGCAGAGCGCCACCTGCCGGAGGCATTACACCATCGCCTGACAACTTCAAAAATAAAATTAATAATTATAATACAGCGGCAAATTAAATACAGCCGTGAAATTATTTAAATTAAAAATCTAACAGTTGTTTCTTCTTACAGCGTGGGTAACTTTCGAGTTTCGACGAAACACGAAACCTTTACGAATCTGTTGTTTCGAATCAGTGGGGCGGTGAAAAGTCACGTGATACGTCATAACTGTTTCGAAATGTAAATGGTTCGGGCGATGATCTGAAAATTCATGAAACAACTCATATTATACAGGCACACTTGTGTCTTATTAGATGAATAGTTGATTGCATTTGACAGATTTTACTTTCAATAAAATATTTGCAATGGGTGTTTTTATGCACGTTTTGCACTGTTCTGATCAGCAGGGGCCACCAGCGTGTGCGATTCAAACGCTTCGAAACAGTGAATCATTTCCTGTCGCACTCGGTTCAATTGATTCGTTTCTCCCAACACTAGCTTGCAGACACAGATTCGTTATAAAATATATTCTCTTGTTGGCGATTACAGAAAGTTTTTACGTTCTCAAAACACACAGTGGTATTCGCTTCAAACACGCACGCGACGCGATCACACAATAGTGCAATAATAGTACGCGTCCCGCACTCCCCCGTTATTCTCCGCACGCAACGCGAGGCGGTGCCGCTCCACCGGCAATCCCAGCATACACCGCGTCTCATTAGCATAAAACATTCCGGTGTCTAGAAGAGCCGAGCGAACACATTCAGCTCCAGGGAGCTTCAAATACGTCTAAATTAAAGAGTATATCCACACACATCGGCAAACATGAGCGACAGCGAGAAACTGGACAAGCAGCGGCTGAAGAACTTCAAGAATAAAGGGCGCGATCTGGAGGTAAAGACGCGTGTGACGTCGAGCAGATTTACAGACACTTCGCGAATAATCGCGCAATCTCCGCTCTCGAGCTCTCATAACACGACGTGTGTTCAGATCTGAGTGTTTATGTGAGAATACCGAGGTTGGATCAGCTAAAGTTGTGATGTGAAGGTGTTAGCCGCGCGGCTAGCTCGCTGTTAGCCTCGAGCTAAGCTAACGCGCGTCGCAGCTCTCCATTAAAGTGTGCATTTGTCATCTGTTGTTTAAAACAAGCGCAGAGATGTGCTCGGATGAGTCGTGATGTGTGATTCTGGGCTCGGTGTGTGTGTGGTGACCGTGTGTGAGTGTTAGCATGAGCTCGGCCTGCTGCACAATAACATCCTCCGGACGCGTTTCTGCTGCGTGCTCGGGCTCAAAGCACCCCAAAAGGGCAGATTATTAATAGGCAGTGTGTTTGCTGGGGTCGGGGCCGTCGTGTGTGTGTGTGTGAGAGAGTTATCAGCAGTTTTTGTCTCTTTAATCGCCTCACACTCACGCAAACAGCGCCCTGCGCACATCAAAACACCGCGCCTCGCGTCTGAACAAGCCTGGGAGAGTGTAACCAATCCCCATCAGTGCTGTACATCACACTGGCATCGCCATACAGATGGATAGAACAATTAGAGCACACTTAAGGTGGTTCTGTTTTAAAAAATGGAGAAAGTTAGAGGTCCCAGGATTGAACCTTGAGGAACACCCTGTTCAACATCTAAATAGTCAGTCTGAAAACCTTTAAAAACAACCGTGTTGTTGAAAATCAGCATTAAACCAAAGAAGCCGGTCAGAACGCTCGTCTGAATGTGTTTAAAGTAATAATTAAGGGTATTGTTCATCTTTCAGGTAATAAAGAATGGCTTTATTGTTGTTATTTATACTAACAAACTTGCATCCAGGTGTTAAGTAAAATAAGCAATAATTTGAGTGTTCATTTTGAGGTGATATGAGATTGGATGACATGAAGAGCTGGTAAAGCATGTAGAATGATTGTTTCCTCATAGCTAAAGTGTGCAGGTCGGGTGGATTGGCTGTAGACGAGTGTGTGTGTGTGTGAGATTGACTGGTTATGATCAGTAATGATGCTTCTGGTTTCTCCCGTACAGACGATGAGAAGACAGCGCACAGAAGTGGTGGTGGAGCTCAGAAAGGTAAGAGTTAGTGCAGTGTGTGTGATTGACAGGTCAGTAGTGTTTCCACTGTGTTTGGACACCTGAACAGCTGGTGTGTTTCTCCTGCAGAATAAGAGAGACGAGCACCTGCTGAAGCGGAGGAACGTCCCGCACGAGGACATCTGTGACGACTCTGATGCCGACGGGGACTTCAGGACCGTAAGAACTACTCGTATCTCTCCGTCAGGGTGTTTCAGGATTTAATGAACTGAATTTGCAGTAATTATTGCCGTAACAATTGATTTATTTATTTTTTTTCAATAGCAAAACACTTCGCTTGAAGCAATTGTTCAGGTAAGACATGCATTTATTTTATTTTATTTTTTACAATTAAGTGGTTAAATTAAACAAAATGTGCACAATGTGATTTTGATGACTGGGGAATGTTTTTAGTGAGTGAATCTCATGTCTGGCTCTTATTTCCTCTGGAATAAAATTAAGAAGTTGATTCTTGTATAATGAGACTGAAACCAGCTTTAGGACCATATTCATATTTAGATTCTCAGTGAAACGCACATACAGGTTTTTTTTTTTTTAAACTTAATATAATAGTTTGGCCGGATGAGTGCTGCATGGAAATAATGCGGTACTGATTCAACTTTTCAACATCTTGTTTTTTTTTTAATGCCACTCCACCATACCCAGATAGCAAACTGACATTGAATCAACGTGGAAATATGACATCGAAACAACGTTGATCTGACATTGTTTTGCTCATCGAATTAACGTTGAACCAACGTCAGACGCGTCATTCTTTCAAAACGAACGGAAAATCAACTTGAAATCAACGTTATGAGTTGATTTTCATTTAGCTTTGAAGAATGCCGCGTCAGACGTTGGTTCAACGTTAATTCGATGAGCAAAATCAACGTTGTTTCAATGTCACGAGAGACGTCGTTTCCACGTTGATTCAATGTCAGTTTGCTGTCTGGGTAGTTACTGTTCAATCTTTTTAAAATATAACTTCTCAATGTATTTGTCTGAAAGAATAGTCATAAACGCTTATGATGCTTGATGGTGAGTGAAATCATGGGCTAATTTAGATATATGGGTGAATAGCTAAAATGTAAACATTCACCACACAATCTAGATAGTCGGACGATTCTGGAAATGTTTCCACGCTGTATAAAGCATACGATACGCTTCAAATTATTATTCATATGTGTGATTATGCAGTACTTTATTGACGAGGTGATTTAGCTCGTTCTCTCCTCCGCCGACACGGAAACGATTCTGAAGAGAAAACGCAAAAGTGGCGTTTCGTCATCACTTTTTATTCTGCGTTTAGACGAGCGTTTTGGGTGGGAAATCCGCGTGCAAATGGAGACGCAAAAGTGTGTGAAATTCAATGTAGTATGCACTTCAGGCGGCTAGGTGTGCATACTACAACAACACCAAGTCCACAACCTTCACTGTCAAGCAGACTTTTGCGTTTTTACCGTTTACACGGGAACGCGGCGGTGGAGCGTTTTTAAGATTTCCACTCTGGAGGGTGGTTTCACTTTTTTGCGTTTTTGAGCCTCAAAAACGCCGTCGCCATGTAAACAAAAGGCACATCCGATAAAATATTTTTAGCGTTCTCGTGTAAACAGGGCCTCAGTCATCTCAGAGTTCCCCTACGGTAAACGCCACTCGAGCACGTTCGTGTCAGATATCTGGCTTGTACAGGGCATGAGTGGTGGTCACTGACACAAGTTGGTGTCGGTCTTCATGTGACGAGGTGTGTGTGTGGTTGTTTGCAGAATGCCACCAGTGATAACCAGGGCGTGCAGCTCAGCGCCGTTCAGGCCGCCAGGTGAGTGACGGCTTTTCTGTTGTAAAAGCTCTGAGTGACTCTCATCCTCCACAAGGGCGAGACATTCAAGCTTTGCTTCATTTTGTGCTGCCAGAGAAAGAGAAACTTGACATGCCTCACCAAGTCTAATAGCTAAAAAGGTAGTAGTGTGTGACTGGCTTTGGGCCGGGCTGTGTGTGTGTGTGTGTGGTAACGCTGCTGTGTCCTCGTCCTGCAGGAAGCTTCTGTCGAGCGACCGCAACCCTCCCATAGACGACCTGATCAAGTCTGGGATTCTGCCCATCCTGGTGCACTGTCTGGACCGGGACGACAAGTAAGAGTCCTGCGAGTGTGAGCTGTGTGTGTGTGTGTGTGGATCTCGTGCTCATATGTCTCTCTCTGTGTTGTGTAGCCCGTCTCTGCAGTTCGAGGCGGCCTGGGCTCTGACCAACATCGCGTCGGGCACGTCCGAGCAGACGCAGGCCGTGGTGCAGTCCAGTACGTTACCCTGATGCTCCCTCTAGAGTTCGACGTCGTCACACACTAATCTGAGCAGAAGCTGACAGGAGCACTCGTGGTGTTGATCAGTCTGAAGAGATCCGCTAGCGGTCTTTAAGGCCCTGATATACTCGAGGAGAAGCTCTTGTTCAGTTTGAGATGCGTGATCAGCGATATCAATGTGGGCGGAGTCAGATGTTCGATAACAGTATGAGGCGCTGTTTCCCACCATTGTTTTGGGGGGCCGCCCCTGAAAGAATGACGTAAAAGAAATACAGGGTTCGTACGGGTGCTTGAAATCCTTGAAAATGCTTGAATTTTGATGTGTTTTCAAGGTTTGAAAAGTGCTAAAATTTTGGATAAAATGCTTGAAATTGTAACTGTTTCTTACACAACAAATACCTATCTGACTGAATATTTCGTTTATTAAATGGCGAAATAAATCTTTGCTGTGGCCCGAGCGTTCCGATGTACTTTGAGTAACTAATTAGTTGCCAAAAAAGGTCAAACAGGGAGAAGAACTTTTCATTTCTGAAGTATTTGGGTTTATTTAGTATACAAAGCCCTTGATGATTTTTCGAGAATAACTACATGTATAAATAACTACTGATATATACTACTGATAATAACTAATATCGTTACCGTGAAACAGAATTTTGGTCGTACCGCCCACCCCGATGTCATTTGGATCAAATCCTCCAACAACATTTTAAAAAATAAAACCTGTGTTTTGCTTCGATATCTGATCCTTCTGCTATTACGTAACACAATTTTGGCTGTATATTTCATATTAGCCCATCTCTTTTAATGTAGAAAAAACGCTAAATAATAATTTTTTTACTATGCATTGTTTTGTAATTTTACGGTGGATAAGGTGCTGGAAAAAGCTTTAAAATGGACCTTGAAAGTGCTTGAGGTGTACGAAAAGGTGTACGAACCCTGGAAATAACTTCATGTAGGAACTAGCGGCTGTGACTATCACAGTTTGATCTCGAGTGTAATGAATTGCTGAATCGTGATAAAGGCTAGTGTGTTAATATTAAACCGCTAAAAGTCTATTTAAATAGTAATCCTACATTTTCGAGCTGTTCGTTGCCTATATGAGGACACGACTGCGTGAACCTCATTCCAGATCCGCTCTGACAGTCATTTGAGAAACTAACGTCATTTCATAAACACACTCAATAATACTGAATAAGTCTAATTAAAATTAATTAGACAAATTTTACACCATGTATCTGTAACATGCTTTAAACCGCTTAATTTCTGAAACTATAGTCATGTCATAAACGCACAGAAACTCAAGTCTTCACGACCACCGTCAAAATGAAAGTTTGGTTTAACTTGACAGTATTATTACATTGAGACGCATTTAAGTAATATATTTCAACACAAATACATAATCTCAACTTTATTTTGAACGGTAAAGCTCATTGCGCATAGTTATTTGACGAAGTTTAATTTCGTATGATTCAATGAATCTTCAACGCCAAATTTTTGTGAAAAAAAAAAACTTTTATAGAATTTTTTTTTAATTTATTAAATTTAAATAAGTTTAACGATTTCAAATAATTTGACATGATTTTTGATTACTAATAATGCTACACCCCGTATCGTAACACGCCCGCTCCGCCGCACTAGTAGTGAAGTCACATGTTTATTTATACACGGATGGCTTAAAATCAAGCGGCTTTACCGTATTCAACATGAAAAACAGCGTCTCGTTTCATCAGAGGAGCTTCATTGTTTACTATGAAACCTCTTTCCCGTGTGTTCGTGTTTTCACTCGTGTCTGACCTCGACGGACTCACTCGTGTCTGACCTTGATGAACATTTCTACGGGAAGAAGGCGGAGCCTCAGCACACCCACCTATGATGTCATCGCCACAGACCAATGGGAGTTCAAGGCTGTCAACGAGCCAAAGCAAACCTTTCCGGAAAGATCGTTTTGGCCTGATTTTTGTTCAAAATGACGTCGCATCAGTTCTACGATTATATCGGGCCTTTAAAGAAATTCTGAGTGGCGCTAACCAAGTGCTCAAAAGGCTGCGTTCTGATTGGATATGTAGACTCAGATTGTGTGTTTCAGAGCCAAGCACGGCACCAGATCCTCTAAGCTCTGTTACAGCTCGAACTAGTCATTCTCATCTCTCTCTCTGTGTGTGTGTGTGTGTGTAGATGCGGTTCCTCTGTTCCTGCGGCTGCTGCACTCCCCTCATCAGAACGTGTGTGAGCAGGCGGTCTGGGCTTTAGGGAACATCATCGGTAAGTGATGGTTTGACACGAGTCACCCGGTCGCTGGTTTGAGTTAGTGCTGGTAGGTGATCTCGTCTTGCAGGTGTGTGTTGCTCGTCTGTCACACTCATGGAGCGGAGTGACTGAAGCTAGTGCTGGGCGGGATGATCACAGTATTTATCAATATTATACCGGTTTAATGAGGCGTGTTTGGGTGAGAGGAAATACTGCAGTAGATTGGCTTAGAACGCCCTTACGGTCATGAGTGAGCATTATAGAGAAATCCCACACTATTATTAAAACAGGTTTGCGAGGCCCTCAAAATCATGCTTTTTACAAAGAGGTGCCAGATTAAATGAAAATAGCATCGCAACTTGGAAGACACTCGGTTCCCTTCAAGACACACACCCACGCCGCGTTTTGACTTGGTAAGAGCTCACGTTTGTTCAACGATGTCAAAGCCTTTTGGAAAATCTGTGTGTGGCGGGCAGTGTTGATGTTGTTTCCCATACATCGGTTCACAATAATATACTTGACCGCTAGGGTTGGGTATCGTTTGAATTTGAACGATTCTGATTCCGATTCTGATTCCTTGTTTCGATTCCGGTTCCTAACGATTCTCGATTCCGATTCTTTTAAGAGGCAGGGTCAAAAAAGTTTAGCTAACCTTGCTAACCAACGGCCTTTCTGAAGGAAATACTCCTTTTGTCACAAATTTTGCATTTTGCCGAGATTTTCTTATTTTTAGAAAAGTGAAGCCACACTTTGGACCGCCGACGTAAGCTACTCATGTTCGACTCGCGCGGTTATGCCAACACTTCCGGTAGACGCTTCTTCGTTGGTGTTGTTCAGCGGTTTCTTCTTCCGCTCGGCGGACTGTGAATATCGAAACTAGGAATCGAAATTTGAACTTTTGAACGATTCCGGGAAAAACGAAAAGTTAGTCCCGATTCCAATCGATTCTCGATACCCAACCCTATTGACCGCTATCAGCTCTAGTTGAACCTCTCTAGCTTCACCGTCACACACATCTGAGCGTCGCCAGTGCAACACTGAAAAGACCCTCTCAAACAGTGTCGTGTTAAAGCGGCATACACCGGTATATTCGAATCAAATAAACCAGTATTGGGAATGGCCGCCCAGCACTAACTGAAGCTGTCGCTGGCTCATGCAGTGATGATGATGATGATGCTGCTGTTTCAGGTGATGGTCCTCAGTGCAGAGATTACGTCATCAGTCTGGGTGTGGTCAAGCCGCTCCTGTCCTTCATCAGCCCCTCCATCCCCATCACCTTCCTCCGCAACGTCACCTGGGTCATGGTCAACCTGTGCCGCCACAAGGACCCGCCGCCGCCCATGGAGACCATCCAGGAGGTACGAGTGTGTGCTGACACGGGCCACAGATCGCAGCCATGGGCTTTTTCAAAAATACTCTGTTTGAATGTTTGGGCTCATAAAAATCAAGTACTCGTTTATTTCAATGGTGTTTAAGGCGTTTGTCGCCATTTCTGAATGAGCTGACAATTAGGCAAAATACACAAGTTTACGTTACATCTTAAGGTTTGTGTGAAAACAAAGTATAAAGAGATTTGTCTGTTTCTAGTCGGCAATTTTGAATGTCCTGCGAGCTGCTTTCTCTCCATCTATACACTCATAATTAGGGCTGTATAGGGTTGCCGCGGTGAGGAAAATTTCCCACCGGTTAATCGACGTGTGACAACACCGGTAATCCCGGTGTCACCGTGGAGGGCAGGGCGGGGGGGTTAAATAGCTTTTAAATGCGTGCGCGTTATACTTTCACTTTCGAAATAAGCGTCAATTGCTTGAATGGACAAAAAAAACAACTCGCTGATAATAAAACTTTTATTTATAGACTTTTATTAGCATAACGAACGAATAAAAATAACCCCATGCAAAGGCTGAAAAAAGTGAAAATCGGCAAAATGTGGGCCCAAACAAATAAGAACCATAAAACGTTTATTAACGAATAAGAAAATAAAATAGGCCTAAATAAATTACACAAAGTTTAAATGAGATAAAACCAATTAAAAAGAGACGAATATAAAATAAAAACTTCAAAACGGACCTTAGCCTACATAAATGACATACTTTCACTTTCGAAATAAGCGTCAATTGCAATTCAGCGTCAATTGCTGGAATGGACAAAAAAAAAAAAAAAAAAAAAACAACTCGCTGACAATAAACTTTTATTTAGACAGCACTTTTATTAGAATAATAAACGAATAAAATATAGACAGAACTTTTATTAGCATAACGAACGAATAAAAATAACCCCATGCATAGGCTAAAAAAAGTGAAAATCGGCAAACTGTGGGCCCAAAAAAAAAAAAAAAACGTTTATTAACGAATAAGAAAACAAAATAGGCCTAAATAAATTAAACAAAGTTTAAATAAGATAAAACCAAATAAAAAGAGACGAATATAAAATAAAAACTTTAAAAAGGACCTTAGCCTACATAAATGACAGCACTCTAAAAAAAAGTAAAACACTATAAATTGGCATTTATTAACATTAATATATATTGGCCAAAATATTGCCAAACAGGCGCTTTTGCATTGCGTTTTGACACCAAATCTTCCGCCATTATCTTGCTTTTCTGTAATTTGACTCGTTCTCGTCTCCACACGTGCTAAATGGAATCCTGATGCTTGCTGATCTGTGACGTGCCGGCACGCGTTGCGCAGTTCATTTTTAATTATAATGCTCTCTTCAGAACTAAATAATTGAAAATTATTATTTTTAATTAATTCAAATAAATATTTTAGCAAAAACGAATACTTTAAAAAAAAAAGTCAAGACATCGCGGTGTCACGGTGGGAAAGTGATGTCACCGGTGATGGGGCTTAAAACCGGTAACACCGTCAACACCGTCTATCGCGGCAAGCCTAGGGCTGTATTCACAACACACACACCGTTTCAAAGCGGCTTTACTGCAAATCCATGAGTCCACATTACAAGTTATGCATTTCAGAAATGAACCGTTACAAATCACACGGTTATCTAATGTATTCATTTCAACAATGAGCTCATTGAACATGATTAGGATCTGTAATGGCAGCATCGGTGTGTGTTGCTTCATCTGAGGTCCTGGCGATTACTGTTGAACATTTAGTGGAAGTGACATAATGGACCTTTTAACAGTCAATTAGACCGCTTAATGGGCTTACACAGCAGCAGTCTAGTATTAAACAGAGATGTGAAATGGAATAAATGAAATATGAAAGTAAAGCCTCCAGTAAGCAGTGGAAGGGCGTTAGGTGTGTTATTGAAATTGTTGTCTGAAATGCAAGTCACTTAATATAAAACAACTTGTTTATTGAGTTGCTGTATTTTCGGTTGGACCCGTGTGTTTTGGGGGCTTTTACATAAATTGTGGTATTTGAGTGTGTAGTCCACTCTTGTACTCTGGTCCCCTCGAGTGCTCCTCTGTCAAACACTGTAAATGGAGACGGCATATGACACTTGATGACTGGACTATGAACGTAAACTGGGCTGATCTCCGTCTCTTCACACAGATTCTGCCCGCGCTGTGTGTGCTGATTCACCACACTGACGTGAACGTAAGTGCTGCTCTGGTCATGTGACTGTCAGCGGTGGCGTGTGGGCGCACGGTTAACTCTGAGCTCTGTGCAGATCCTGGTGGACACGGTTTGGGCGCTGTCTTACCTCACGGACGCGGGCAACGAGCAGATCCAGATGGTCATCGACTCCGGGATCGTGCCGTACCTCGTCCCCTTGTTGAGCCACCAGGAGGTCAAAGTTCAGGTATGGAAGAGGCTTTTGCATTGGTGTGGCTTCAGAGACGTGCGTTCCTGTAGAAGTCCTGTAAAACCCTTCATAAACCCCATATTTATGAAAAGTGCTTGAATTATTGAAAGACAATATATGTGAAATTAGTGTTTAATTTTAAAGATAAGATCTTTTCACGCTAAATCAACTCTGTGACCCGTCTGGTATAGAGCCAGTTCGCTATGAGTGATATAGCTCATAAATATCCAATGATTCAGCTTTCATTCTTCAGCTCAATCATATATTCATGTGGGGAAAATCCGTTTCAATATTTGTGTTAGTCATTGCATGTGCTGCACTTTTTTTGTATCATTTTGTTTTAGTTTTATTGACCTCTTGGATTTAACCCTTCGGAGTCTTGGTCTATTTTGGCCCTTTTTGAGTACTTTTTTTTTATTTATTTTTATTTTGGGACATAAACAAATGTTTACCATACCAATTTTTGGTATCATTGTTTTCAGCACAACATTACCTATATGACCAGACAATTAGTTTATCACTTTGATGTACTGTATCAACATACTGGACCCAAAATCACACAAAAAACACAAACATGCTCAATGAAGCATTTTAAAAGGTTTAAAATGTAAACACAAGTTGTAAAAGTCAAAATATTCAGATATAATCAAGCTATATACAAAGAAATATGATTCACAAAAAAAAAGCGAGTGTAGCCGTAGGCTTTTTTTTTTTTCTCATTTTAGCTTTGCCACTTTAAAAAAAAAATTGTGCACGCAAATGTACAGAGAGCTTTTGCATTCCCAGAGTATGAGGGTTTCCAAATAGTGCAAATACACCATAAAAAAGCTAAAATTAAGATAAAATGAAACTATATACAGCAAAAAGCAGGTGTGGCAATAGGGTTTTTTCTTTTCTTTTTTGCTTAGACACTGCAAAACACTTTATGTACAATTAGACAGCTAGCTACATAACAGGGCTTTCATTCCTCGAGTAAGAGGGGTTCCTCAATAGTGCAAATATACCACACAAAAGGTGAAATTAACACAAAATCAAACCATACATTCAACTATTTACAACAAATATCAGGTGTGTTTATTTATTGTTGTTGTTTTTTTTTTTTATCTGTGCCAATCCTCAAAACATTCATCTAAACTACTCCTAAACGATCTACACCACTCCTAAATTACTCTCAAAATCTACTCAAACTAGCAATAATTTCTCCCTATATATATATATTATATATATATAACTTATGTGTCTCTCTTTGTCTAGTCCGTAAATCTCCTGCCTTTCTCTTTCGCGTCTTTGCTCAGTTGGCTCCTCCTTCACTCCGTAACCCTGAAGAGCAGATTCAGCAGATTCACACATTTTTCTCCGTTTTGTTTTATGACAAAAAACGAACAAGTTATTAAAATAAATGCACCACCGTCTGTCGCATCCCATCTTGCGTTCTTTTACGAACGCGTCAATATAATCGTACATTTTTTTTATATAAGCTTTAAATGATCATATCTCCGTTTTTACTTGGTCTATCAACACAAAACAGTAAAATAGAGTTTCAAGTCAAACGTGACTTTGTTTTTATGCTTCGACGTCTTAAACTGGATATGTGACTTGATCACGCCGGCGTGATCGGCGACCCCGAAGGGTTAAAGGTCATAAAGATATTGTTTGATTAGTGAGATCTCTGATTGTGTTCCTTGAAAACCCCAAAAGTAGTGTTTGAAAGTCCTGTCGTTTGATCGAACCCTGTGTCTTCCTCCTCCCTCATTAAAGCGATTAGTGTGACTGCCTGTGTGTGTGTGTGTGTGTGTGTGTGACGGTCTGCTTTCTGCTTCAGACGGCAGCGCTGCGAGCGGTGGGGAATATCGTGACGGGAACTGATGAACAGACTCAGGTGGTGCTCAACTGTGACGCTCTGGGCCACTTCCCAGCACTCCTCACACACCCCAAAGAGAAGATCAACAAGGTAACGTGTCCGATCCACTCCAGGGCTCGGCATTAAAGGGTTAGTTCACCCAAAAATGTATTTTACTCACCGTATTTCCTCACCCTCATGTTGTTCCAACCCCGTAAGACCTTCGTTCATCTTCGCAACACAAATTAAGATATTTAAGATATTAAGATCGCTCCTGCATACAGTCCATAGGCTTCTTGAGGGACTGGCTCTTGCTGTCCTCGAAAAGTCATTAAAGACATCGTTAAAATAGTCCAAGTGACGACAGGGGCTCAATCTTAACTTTATCAAACGACGAGAACACTTTTGTGCGCAAAAAAACAACAAAAATAAGGACTTTATTTCAACTATTGGTTTATTTCTCCCTCTGCGCGAGTCAGGTTACTCGTTTAATAGCGTAAGCTTCTGTTATTGTACGTCACACGCATCACACACACATGACCAGCGTCGGCCAATAGTGAGCCTACGTGTGACGTAGCTCTACGCTATCACACTACGTTAACTGACTACAGGCTCATGGAGAAGGAAGTGAATAGTTGAAATAAAGTCGTTATTTTTGTTGTTTTTTTGCGCACAAAAGTGTTCTCGTCGTTTGATAAACTTAAGATTGAGCCCCTGTAGTCACTTGGACTATTTTAACGATGTCTTTAATGACTTTTCGGGGACAGCAAGAGCCAGTACCTCAAGAAGCCTATGGACTGTATGCAGGAGCGATCTTAATGTCTTAAATATCTTAATTTGTGTTGCGAAGATGAACGAAGGTCTTACGGGGTTGGAACAACATGAGGGTGAGGAAATACTGACAGAATTTTCATTTTTGGGTGAACTAACCCTTTAACCCCAGACTAGCACACGAAACGGCCCTCACTCCTGTGATGTGTTGGACATGATGACAGCTGAGGTGTGGCGCTGGCACGAGTGACGCCTGGATAGTGTTCAGATCAGCATGTGTTTAATGTTCAGCTTAGTGTAATGTGTGAGTGTGTGTGTGAGTGGCTGATGGGTGCGGGTGTCAGACACAGCAGTGCTGATACAGGAGTGCATCTGAGGCGGGCCGCTCCCCGCGAGGCCTGTGCGCGGCCTGGCCCATGATTAGAGCCTCAGTATCATCATCCTCGCCCTCAGCTCCTCTGCCAGCGCCTCCACCTCAGCAGGGCCTGTGACCTCTCGCTCGCCCTGAGCTCTGATCCGCTCGCTCGTCACACGCGTGTGCCCGTCATCAGCCCTGACGCCGCTGTGCTGAGTGTGTGTGTTCTCTCTACAGGAGGCCGTGTGGTTCCTGTCCAACATCACCGCAGGGAACCAGCAGCAGGTTCAGGCCGTCATCGATGCCAATCTGGTGCCCATGATCATTCTGCTGCTGGATAAGGTGGGGACCCAGACTCACTCTAACACACTGACCTCTGCTATCGTGATCGTGTCATCCACACGTGCAGTTTAGTTTGATCAGCGAATGCTGAATGTTCACTATTATCCATTAGGGTTCACAGTTAATTTGATGGAGCTTTTCACAATACACCTTTACAGAGTCCATATTACAATCTAATAGGGCTGGGTAATAAATATCGATTTCTCGATATTAATCGATTCTCATTTTTACGAACCGATATCGATTCTTAAATCTGAAGAATCGATTAGTCATCCTGTTTCATTTGAATGAATGGATCATTGTATCGCGGCTGCGCGCATCCAACAAATCACAATAATCTTTGTCCTTTGATACTATTGATATGAAACAAAGTCTCAGATTTCAAATTAGGTTAATTTTCATACGAAATTCAAAAACATAAATAGCGTTTTGTCGCTGTGGCGTGAGATCGCTCTGGAGAAGCAGCAGCGCTGATCTCTCTTCCGGCTTAATAATACCAGTCACAGCGCCAAATAAACATAAATGAGCATCTGAAAGTGTGTTAAAGATAGAGGACAACTTATCCAAATCCGGATCATGTCACATTGATTCGCTCAATCAGCGTTTCAACCGTGGAAAGACGTCAGTTAAACAGCTTGTAATCAATGTATCGTCATATTTACCTCAGAAAACCCACATAAACTCGTTAGTCAGCTAGAAAAAAATAACTCCAGAGAGGAGCATTTTGTTAAATATATACACCATATTACATATGCATTATAATCTTAATGTTCTTCAATATTTAATGCATATTTGAATAAATCTGGCAAGTTTTTATGACAGCCGCCATTTAAATGTTTATATTTCATATGATCTTCTTATTATAAAAATAAATAAGTGTAATTTAAGTGTTTGTATAGCTACAAAACAGTTCACTATTACCTTCATATTAGGCTAATGAAGTCTATAGGCTACAACTAGACAACTAGAGATTTGATTTCCTTGAGAAAACTTGCCATTTATTGGAACTGATATCCAAAATAATCGATATTGAATCGAAATCAAATCGAATTGCAAGCTTGTGAATCGAATTTGAATTGTGAAATTTGTGTCAATACCCAGCCCTACAATCTAGAGTGATCTATTATCAGTGGAGATTGATTTTGTAATTATTTCTGAAATGAATAACTTAGTCAGTTAAAAAGGTATTAATGTAAACAATATAGTAATTAAGGCAGAAACGATGAATAATCAACTGCAAAATAACACTATATATAGTCTTCACTGAATAAGTTAAATGATTCCTATAATTAAGTGTACCTCATGGTTACCGCAGGGTCAATCCTCTCAGTTTTGTAAAGCGAGTCGTGCATGTACACGCATGGAAGGATCATTTACGAGATTCACTTCTGTGTGGAAATGAAGCGGTCACTCCTGGAGCTTTACAGTGCACACGGCGCCTAAAAGTGCGGTTCACTCAAATGCTGAATCCTGGTCCTTAGCTGAAAATACTGTGCAATGTTAGACACGTGCGCTCTTTAACTTCAGTTTAAAGTACTTTATTAAATAATTTGAAACTCAAATGTGCGGTGACCTGGGTTTGCCGTATTCAATGCTAAGTTACGTCTGTCTGAACCTTTTGCAGTATACTGCGACTGTTACCGCTGATTTAAGTGTGTGCGTGACCCAGTGTATCACACACAGCTCATTGTGTTTCTCACAGGGAGATTTCGGCACTCAGAAGGAGGCGGCGTGGGCCATCAGCAACCTCACCATCAGCGGCAGAAAGGACCAGGTGAGCGGCTCGCCGGACACGCGTGTGTGTGTGTGTGTGAGGAGCGCGGCGTTCACGTGTGTTCTCGGCTCGTCCTGCAGGTGGCGTACCTGATCCAGCAGCAGGTGATTCCCCCCTTCTGTAACCTGCTGACGGTCAAAGACGCGCAGGTGGTGCAGGTGGTGCTGGACGGCCTCAGTAACATCCTCAAGATGGCCGACGACGAAGCCGAGACCATCGCCAACCTCATCGAGGAGTGCGGAGGTGAGCGCTAGTGTGTGTTAGGGGTGTAACTGTTCAAACCGGACTGAGAACCCGAAACACACCCACCACGGGACGTATGCCGATACTCATGGCACATTTATCCTTGACATTGGATTAAATAGAAATTGGGGGTGTGTCGGTACACAAATTTTCGTGTCTTATGTACCAATGCAAACATCATTAACCAATGATCGCAATAAGCTCTGCGTTTTGATGCTTTCGCTAAGAATCACATTTTTCAATTGTCGGTTTGATCATGAAATTCTTGCGTTAAACGGCGTTTGACGCTCTTGGACGTGGCGTGACCGATCACTATATGCGTCTCAGATGATCGTTCACTCGCGCAGCTGCTTAAACACATCAGGCATGTTGAAGATGCAGTATAACCTGCTGCCATGGGAAAGAGTTACTAATGTTTCTAAGGTGTCTATGAACAACAGCAGCCTAAATATTAGAGCTGGGTATTGAGACAAATTTCACAATTCGATTCGATTTCGATTCACAAGCTTGCAATTCGATTTCGATTCAATAGCGATTATTTTGGATATCAGTTACAATAAATGGCCGTTTTTCTCAAGGGAATCAAATCTCTTAAATGCTGTAAACTATGGGAGTCTAGTTGTAGCTTATAGACTTCATTAGCCTAATATGAAGGTAATAATGAACTGTTTTGTAGCTATACAAACAATTAAATTACACTTATTTATTTTTATAATAAGAAGATTATGTGAAATATAAACATTTAAATGGTGGCTGTCATAACTTGCCAGATTTATTCAAATATGCATTAATTATTGAAGAACATTAAGATTATAATGCATATGTAAAATGGTGTATATATTTAGCAAAATGCTCCTCTCTAGAGTTATTTCTTTCTAGCTGACTAACGAGTTGATGTGGGTTTTCTGAGGTAAATATGACGATACATTGATTACGAGCTGTTTAACTGACGTCTTTCCACGGTTGAAACGCTGATTGAGTGAATCAATGTGACATGATCCGGATTTGGATAAGTTGTCCTCTATCTTTAACACACTTTCAGATGCTCATTCATGTTTATTTGGCGCTGTGACTGGTATTATTAAGCCGGAAGAGAGATCAGCGCTGCTGCTTCTCCAGAGCGATCTCACGCCACAGCGGCAAAACGCTATTTATGTTTTTGAATTTCTAAAGAAAATGGACGTAATTTGAAAATTGAGACTTTGTTTCATGTCAATAGTATCAAAGGACAAAGATTATTGCGATATTTTTTTTTTATTTTAATTTTTTTGATGCGATACAATGATCCATACATTCAAATGAAACAGGATGACTAATCGATTCTTGAGATTTAAGAATCGATATCGGTTCGTAAAAATGAGAATCGATATTTATTACCCAGCCCTACTAAAAATACTAGTATCCAGACCACTAAAGCGCCTCTGACTGGGTCGAGACGGAGCGGATGCATGTTTCATGAGGAGAACCGCTTTTCTCCTTTCGCTCTTGGCACATTTGTGGTTTAATGCATCTCATACGCAACAGAAATGGCAGCGTTATCAGCGGCGGTCTGCAACACTCATGCGCAGCATTATTCGCCTAGTGCATAAACAAACATATCAAACTTTTATTCATTTTAAAGAGGGAAATTATATGGCAATAATTCTCAATATCGCCCGACCCTCCTTAAAAATGTTGACGTTTGGCCTTTTCTACCTTGACAGACCTGCCAACCCGTACGCGTTCTGTGTAGCGGATACGCATTCTGACCTCAAAGTACGCTGGGATGATTCGTCACTCTAAACTACGCAAAAACCTGGTGACTCCCAAATAGCAAGCGGGTGTGATTGACTGATGCGTAAGGCCTATCATTAAAAAGAGAAATCAAGAATCCGTCTCGATCCCGCTTCCACTCCCGCAGCCGCCTCTGAGTTCATAAGCCAGTACTTCTGACCCCTGAAGGGAAACGGGCTGGGCTGGTATTGAGTTAACTTAATCTGGATTCGATATTCGATAATCACACATTAGAGCCAGACCGATATATCGGCCGGCCGATATTAGGCATTTTCCATAATATTGGTATCGGCAGTTATAATGGCTGATAAATGAATATTTAAATAATAAAATAAAAACGGACGAAACGCACTTCAATCATCTCTCCTTGGCCTGTTATTTTGAAAATGTATGTTTTACAATTTGCAGTATGATTGCTAAATTATGGCTTATCATAGACTAGCTAACCATAAAGCTAGCTAATGCCACTATCATCAGTGGAAGACCGCTAACGTTAACATTAATGAGCTTGGAAACCACAATGAACTTTTTCTGGCTAAATAAAGTAATTATTACTGTATTTATAACTAGCATATCTCTAGTTACAGTCAAGTTATACTTGTGAGGAGTGAACATTTAGACATTTAGACAAAAAGTATCATACGTATCTTGTGCAGAAAAGTTAGCTTTTCTTTTACAGAAAGAAATCCAACAATATTTAAAAATGTGTGAAATGTGTGAAAATCCAACAATGTGTGAAATTGTTGTGTGTGAAATCCAACAATATTTAATAAAAAAAAATATCGGCCGATATATCGGGATATCGGATTTTAAAACCCCAAAAATATTTGTATCGGTATCGGCCTTCAAAATCCTTTATCGGTCGGGCTCTACCACACATGAGTGAAAAATCACAGGACAAGTTAATAACTTTTGGAAGCTGGCTCTATTTATCATCAAAAAAAGAAATAGGTGGATGAGGGCGTGGGATCAAACTGGGCGCGGGACAAGCGGAAGTACCGCCGTCATCCAGCGCAGCTCCTGGAGTGAGCAAATGGTGAAACTAGCCAAACGGTTCACCTCAGAAGGGTCTGGAGGACACAAATATACGGCGACGATGATCCCCACGCCGCTGTTCTGCTCTCAAAAGCAAATACAGAGGGGTAGGGTTGGGTATCGTTTGAATTTGAACGATTCTGATTCCGATTCCTTGTTTCGATTCCGGTTCCTAACGATTCTCGATTCCGATTCTTTTAAGAGGCAGGGTCAAAAAAGTTTAGCTAACCTTGCTAACCAACGGCCTTTCTGAAGGAAATACTCCTTCTGTAAAAATACTCCTTTTGTCACAAATTTTGCATTTTGCCGAGATTTCGTTATTTTTAGAAAAGTGAAGCCACACTTTGGACCGCCGACGTAAGCTACTCATGTTCGACTCGCGCGGTTATGCCAACACTTCCGGTAGACGTTTCTTCGTTTCTTCTTCCGCTCGGCGAACTGTGAATATCGAAACTAGGAATCGAAATTTTAACTTTTGAACGATTCCGGGAAAAACGAAAAGTTAGTCTCGGTTCCAATCGATACTCGATTCTCGATACCCAACCCTACAGAGGGGTGACTCTCTCGACGAATGCACGGTCGACATAAAAACAATGGCCGCCAACCGATTTTGATTCTGACGTGTGTCGTGCTTAAATTTCGCTTCAAACTTTTGTTTTTAGGCGCGTCAGTTTCGCTCTTGACGCGTGAATTAACACAAAGTGGTCAAGCATCAAACTAGACGCGTCCGGTGTGAACGTAGCATAACATCTCTTCAATGAAAGGCATTTAGGAGATTATTATCCACACTAATTCCCCCCCGGCCTTAATTTGAGGCCGCCCTTTATTTGTCCACGTTGATCACGCACCCGGCCACGATCGGAGGCCCGGCGTTTATTTGAATAGCGGTTTTTATTTGAGGAATTACAGTAATTCATTTTAAAATTCTTACTTTGAACTAGTTCATGTAGAAAGTGAGCTTTCCCAGCACTGCTTAAATGTACACAGTGATCTATTCTTTCTCTGACTTGATGAAAGGAAGTAGTTTGTGAAGATCTTGATCATCTGTTGCTCAGGTTTGGAGAAGATCGAGCAGCTGCAGAACCACGAGAATGAGGACATCTACAAACTGGCCTATGAGATCATCGATCAGTTCTTCTCATCTGATGATGTAAGTTCCTGCACACGCATGTTCTCTCGCTCACGTTTATCACTGAGAAAAGCAGTTGGATCAGTTCCTGAAGGCAAACGCAGTTCTAGGTGGCGTCTCTCATAAGACTCAAATCTTGAAACCAATACTTGTTATAAAATGGTTTACCTTATTGGAAACGAGATTAGGAAGCGATCAGAATCTAGATCGTTAATTCCATAGACATAATATATACATAGACGCCCTATTGGCCGCTTTGGAACGTTGCTGCGATACGTCAACGGGTCCGCCATTTTGCGGAGGTCAAGACTGCCCTGTAATTAAATGCAAGTAAATGACTGCGTTTTTCTGGATAAAAACATTCATGGATAAGAATGGTGAAGACCCCCATACTGAGATATTTAAGTTTGCTCATTGTGGAAAAAGCATTGTATGTGATTGACCAGATTTTAGCAATAACATTGATAACTGATGGATCCTTTATGATAATACATATGTTGTGGTACAACTGGGCATACAGTGCAATGCAAATCGTAATTATTACATAAAGTGAGAAGTAATAGTAAATAGTTAAGTCAATAAAATCAACAAATAGTATACAGCAAATAAAAATTGTAATGAATACTAGTATAATTATATAAAAATATGTATAGTAGTTTATTAATAATGCTATAATAGCAATAGAATAAGACATTTCAACTACAGAATATACACACACAAAAAATAAGTTATTTAGCTCTTTTTGTTAAATTTCAGTTTTATTGATCCGTAATAGGCTAGCCATTATAACAGAAGTAGCTTCAGTCAAACTTAAAATAGCCTAAATATAAAGTTATGAAACTTTACTTTGCTCACCAGGGAACCATTTATAGATTAATGAGACCAAAGATAAACACAAATTATATCTCATGTTTAACCTCTAGACTAGAGCCATCCGAGCCAGCGGCAACCGTCAGAAGCACTGGCCGAGGTACGGCTGTTCCAGGCGGGGGAGACGAGCGCTGGGCGGGGGCGCAGCTTACAACTCCGAAAACTTCAAATAAAGTTTTAAATAGGCGCTATCTTTATAAACAAACCACATATTTGAGCTTTAAACAACTGCATTGTCGACTGAAAAACTATTAAAACTACATTTCGTGACACAATAACAGTAGTATTTAACCTCTAAACGTTAATGTTACTAATTAAATCATGACCAAATACAACCAAAAACAGCACACAAAACATTTTTCTCAATTCCCGGTATGTGAGGTATGGGAAAGTTGCTCTCCCCAATATGGCGGCGCCGTTGACCTACGCTCCAGCGGCCAATAGGCATAGCTGTCAACATTGAACATTGAAAATAAGGGAGTTTTCCCGGAATCCTTCCCCAAAATAAGGGATTTTTTTTTTTTACACGATTCTTACCCACAAACTTTAAAAATAAAGCACTAATCCTTAAAAGTCTAAAGAGCTAATAACTAGCCTAGAAACTAGTGTCATTTAAAGAAAAAAAAATCTACATTTGGATTAGTGGTGTGTTGCTCTTGCCTTTGCGACAACAATTTCAACTGTTATCACATCTTCCAAAACCCACAAAATAGGGAAGTGGGCTGTCTGTTTACTTCAATTACATTTACACATTTTATGTAGTTTTAAAGAGCCTATATTTAGCCTGGTGGTGGACCCAGAAGACGCACTCTGTTGTTATTGTAGCCTATCTCATCTTTATATCCTCCTGAGGCCCAGAACTATTTTTTTCAAAAGTTTTTTCTTCTTCTTTGTGTAATCATTATTAAGAGCATAAGAAACAAATGAAAAAAAAAAAGGAAAGATATTTTATTCATATGTTACATGACATTAAATTATATATAGGCAAAACTAATGGCAATATAAATCGATTATTATAATTATTATTTGTTTAAATTAGATTGATATCTGAATTTATATAAAAACCTTGACTTTTAAACATGAAAATGTAAAATGTAGGCTATTCGAGTACAAAATGACATATAAACATCGTTTCCTATTTTTATTTTTATTTTTGCCTGGAAACGCTTTCAACACGCTTGCGTGTCGCGTGAAAAAATAGGCGTCAGTTCTATTTCTAGCATGCACGCGTTTTCTGGAGTGTGCAAGCTCTAATCTGTTAACATGGGAGCCGAAATAAAAACGGACACGCCACACTCCGGCCAGCGCGCGCGGCGCCGCATCTGAGAATAAACGACTTCAAGCCGAGTCAGTCCGAGCTCGTACGTCTCACACAATCAGAGTAAAAATACGGGATATTTTACGGAAAAATACTAAAAGGGGAAGACGGCGGGAAAAGAGTAAAATTACGTGAGAAACCCGGAAAAAACGGGAGGGTTGACAGCTATACCAATAGGGCGTCTATGTATTTATTATGTCTGTGGTTAATTTAAACGATCCCCATCCCTAGCCACGCCCCCAAACTCCGGCTATTGGCTGAGCTGCAAGGATCGTTTAGATGAAATTTAGGAATCGTTCAATCCCCAGTGAACCGCTGGCTTCTGTCTTTCAGATCGACGAGGACTCCAACCTGGTTCCCGAAGCCATCCAAGGAGGAACGTACAACTTCAGCTCTCCCACCAACGTGCCAGCAGAAGGGTTCCAGTTCTAGACGCCACGGGACACCCGGAGTTTTGTTTGTGATGCAGCACTCTGTTCAACATTAAAAATAATTAGAGCGAACGAGAGAGAGAGAGAGCGAGCGAGAGAGAGTGTGATGATGATAAATATTAGGTCCGTTGTGCTTGGCTGATGGGATCCAGCTGCATCTAAACCCAAGAGAAATTGAGTGGAGTTCCTCCCGAAGGAAAGCGTCCCGTCGGCGTTTGAGATGATGATGATGATGGCTTTGAGTGGATGCGATGCGAGTGAGAGTGAGTGGGTGAATACTGCGTTTCAAAACACCACCATCTAAACCGAACGCGCTCGGAGCAAACTTCACCAAAACTGCCTGGCGTGTGTCTCAACTAAACCAAACCCAACCAATGGGAGCAACCAAGACGTCTCACATTAGTAATCTGAGGTAAGGACGATCGTTGAGGACCTCATCAACAACAGAGACACGAACACACTTCTGAGGAGTGCCTGAGTGTGTGTGTGTGTGTGAGTGAGTGAATGACCCCTGAGGGGTTGATCTGACGTGCTGGAGACGGACCCAGCAGACCAGAGCCCTCTCCCGTACGCTAGCGGCGTCACGCTAACGTTTATGTGCTGCATGTGTGTGTGTGTGTGCTTGACTGACTGATGAAATGCAGGACTGAATGTAAACGAGTCGACATGGGGAAAAAAAATCAACCGGCGTGTGGAAGGTGACCAATTCAGCGGCAAATTGTGGAGGAGACTAAATGAAGAAATCACCTTGACTCGGCATCAGTGATCTAAAGAAGACTGTCATGACTTTAATTCCCCCTTTTCCTTTTAAACCTGATTTCGTGCTGATGACACTGGACTGAGTGGACTTGCGTCGAGGATGATCGGTCGGGGAAGTGTGTGTGTTGTTCCCAGTGTGTGCGTTTGTCCCTAAGCCCGTTTTCTTTCCGTCTTCCCTCGTGTCTGCTTTTAATTTCCCAGTGCTGGTGTAAATACATGTACTGCACTGTTGTCGGACCCCGGCACAAACGCTTCCGCCCCTCCTCCGAGCGGGTCACGTGATCATGTGTGCGAGGGGGTTCAGACTCGTATCCTTTGCATGTGCTAAACTGCAGCATAGTTCATTTTAGTGGGTTTTTAGTTTCGTAAGTGTAAGCTTCTTTTTTTTTTCTTTCTTTTCTTTTAAAAACAAAGTACCTGCTATAATGTTTCTGTGGCCATCTTTTTTTCTTCCCATTCAAGCCCCTCACTGTTCCTGACCGACGACGGCGTTTTGCACATCGGAGGCGTGTGCACATTAGCGAAGATGGGCGGTTAGTCCCACTCTAACACAGGCCATCTTTATTTGTAGATATTCATGTTCAGTGTTGAGCAATATTACAGCAGATGCGGACTGATAGCGCTGTTTCCCATCCGTTCTGTTTCTGAACTGTGTTTGCATAACCTCTCCATGGCTATATTATGTTTTCTTGACACCCCTCCCACCCCCAGCGGCATTCCTTGTTTGCAAATATGTAGTTTCAAAAGAAGACAAGCATAGATGGTGTACCTATCCTGTTGGACAGACTCACAGGCTCTGTACCTATTCAAATAAATATTCAAATGTGTCCCAGTGGTGCTGTCTTCAGCGGAGGAGGGAAAAACATTTACTGAAGTGAGTTCACCCCATCCTAATGAAAGGTTTCTATGTGTTATAGATCTTTGGTCAGATTTCCTATACAGTATAACATTGAAGTTTATCTTATAAACGGTAATTGTGTTTGGCCTTTTTAAGTGTAAGCTATTTTCTACGGAAGCCCTGAACCGCAACCTAAAAAAAAAAAAAAGTCAGTAAAAAAAAAAAAAAATCTGTAAAAAAAAAAAAATCTGTAAAAAAAAAAAAAAAATTAGCATTTCGAGATTAAAGTCGAAATGTTTCGAGATTAAAGTCGAAATGTTTCGAGATTAAAGTCGAAATGTTTCGAGATTAAAGTCGAAATGTTTCGAGATTAAAGTCGAAATGTTTCGAGATTAAAGTCGAAATGTTTCGAGATTAAAGTCGAAATGTTTCGAGATTAAAGTCGGAATGTTTCGAGATTAAAGTCGGAATGTTTCGAGATTAAAGTCGGAATGTTTCGAGATTAAAGTCGGAATGTTTCGAGATTAAAGTCGGAATGTTTCGAGATTAAAGTCGGAATGTTTCGAGATTAAAGTCGGAATGTTTCGAGATTAAAGTCGGAATGTTTCGAGATTAAAGTCGGAATGTTTCGAGATTAAAGTCGGAATGTTTCGAGATTAAAGTCGGAATGTTTCGAGATTAAAGTCGGAATGTTTCGAGATTAAAGTCGGAATGTTTCGAGATTAAAGTCGGAATGTTTCGAGATTAAAGTCGGAATGTTTCGAGATTAAAGTCGGAATGTTTCGAGATTAAAGTCGGAATGTTTCGAGATTAAAGTCGGAATGTTTCGAGATTAAAGTCGGAATGTTTCGAGATTAAAGTCGGAATGTTTCGAGATTAAAGTCGGAATGTTTCGAGATTAAAGTCGGAATGTTTCGAGATTAAAGTCGGAATGTTTCGAGATTAAAGTCGGAATGTTTCGAGATTAAAGTCGGAATGTTTCGAGATTAAAGTCGGAATGTTTCGAGATTAAAGTCGGAATGTTTCGAGATTAAAGTCGGAATGTTTCGAGATTAAAGTCGGAATGTTTCGAGATTAAAGTCGGAATGTTTCGAGATTAAAGTCGGAATGTTTCGAGATTAAAGTCGGAATGTTTCGAGATTAAAGTCGGAATGTTTCGAGATTAAAGTCGAAATGTTTCGAGATTAAAGTCGGAATGTTTCGAGATTAAAGTCGGAATGTTTCGAGATTAAAGTCGAAATGTTTCGAGATTAAAGTCGAAATGTTTCGAGATTAAAGTCGAAATGTTTCGAGATTAAAGTCGGAATGTTTCGAGATTAAAGTCGGAATGTTTCGAGATTAAAGTCGAAATGTTTCGAGATTAAAGTCGAAATGTTTCGAGATTAAAGTCGGAATGTTTCGAGATTTTAGTCGGAATGTTTCGAGATTAAAGTCGGAATGTTTCGAGATTAAAGTCGAAATGTTTCGAGATTAAAGTCGAAATGTTTCGAGATTAAAGTCGAAATGTTTCGAGATTAAAGTCGAAATGTTTCGAGATTAAAGTCGGAATGTTTCGAGATTAAAGTCGGAATGTTTCGAGATTAAAGTCGGAATGTTTCGAGATTAAAGTCGGAATGTTTCGAGATTAAAGTCGGAATGTTTCGAGATTAAAGTCGAAATGTTTCGAGATTAAAGTCGGAATGTTTCGAGATTAAAGTCGGAATGTTTCGAGATTAAAGTCGGAATGTTTCGAGATTAAAGTCGGAATGTTTCGAGATTAAAGTCGGAATGTTTCGAGATTAAAGTCGGAATGTTTCGAGATTAAAGTCGGAATGTTTCGAGATTAAAGTCGGAATGTTTCGAGATTAAAGTCGGAATGTTTCGAGATTAAAGTCGGAATGTTTCGAGATTAAAGTCGAAATGTTTCGAGATTAAAGTCGGAATGTTTCGAGATTAAAGTCGGAATGTTTCGAGATTAAAGTCGAAATGTTTCGAGATTAAAGTCGAAATGTTTCGAGATTAAAGTCGAAATGTTTCGAGATTAAAGTCGAAATGTTTCGAGATTAAAGTCGGAATGTTTCGAGATTAAAGTCGGAATGTTTCGAGATTAAAGTCGAAATGTTTCGAGATTAAAGTCGAAATGTTTCGAGATTAAAGTCGGAATGTTTCGAGATTTTAGTCGGAATGTTTCGAGATTAAAGTCGGAATGTTTCGAGATTAAAGTCGGAATGTTTCGAGATTAAAGTCGGAATGTTTCGAGATTAAAGTCGGAATGTTTCGAGATTAAAGTCGGAATGTTTCGAGATTAAAGTCGGAATGTTTCGAGATTAAAGTCGGAATGTTTCGAGATTAAAGTCGGAATGTTTCGAGATTAAAGTCGGAATGTTTCGAGATTAAAGTCGGAATGTTTCGAGATTTTAGTCGGAATGTTTCGAGATTTTAGTCGGAATGTTTCGAGATTTTAGTCGGAATGTTTCGAGATTTTAGTCGGAATGTTTCGAGATTAAAGTCGGAATGTTTCGAGATTAAAGTCGGAATGTTTCGAGATTAAAGTCGGAATGTTTCGAGATTAAAGTCGGAATGTTTCGAGATTAAAGTCGGAATGTTTCGAGATTAAAGTCGGAATGTTTCGAGATTAAAGTCGAAACATTGTGCGTTCATAACAGTGCGTGTCCACTGGCTCAGAGCGCGCGCGTGTGTGTGTGAAGTCGAACTGCCATGGATAAACACAAAATAGTAGCTTTTTACTTTTATCTGAATTACTTATCTTACTTTATCGTTATAAAATATAATGCGCCGGAATAGACTTTAGCCTATAGGAAAACCAACATGGAAAACACTTTTCAGACTGGATGGAGAAATCCAGCTTTATGAATGAATGAATGAATGGGGCATTTAGCGCTTTCATATATGCCTACACTCAAAGTGCTTTACAATCATATCAGAGAATCTCTCCTCAACCATAAGTGGTTATTAAATCTTAGGAAATCACAGGATCCGGCCAAATGTTTGGATACAGAATGATGCACTTAAAATGTATCCAGAGCGTATTTACGGTGAAGAGGGAGACCGAACAGTTACTGTTGTGTTCTCGACCCAGATAGTGTTGACTAGACGAGCACGAAAACACCTCAGAAACACTGACACTAGCACGGGTGACGTGTGTAGAATTTTGTTGAAAGCCCAGATAAAAGTAAAAAGCTACTATTTTGTGTTTATCCATGGCAGTTCGACTTCACACACACACGCGCGCTCTGAGCCAGTGGACGCGCACTGTTATGAATGCACAATGTTTCAACTTTAATCTCGAAACATTCCGACTTTAATCTCGAAACATTCCGACTTTAATCTCGAAACATTCCGACTTTAATCTCGAAACATTCCGACTTTAATCTCGAAACTTTTCGACTTTAATCTCGAAACATTTCGACTTAAATCTCAATGCTAGATTTTTTTTTTTTTTTTTTTTTTTTTTTTTTTTTTTTTTAGGTTGCGGTTCAGGGCTTCCGTAATTTTCAGCTCACCATTTGGGTTTTGTTTTTCTTATTAAATCGTAATTTTTTTTCTCTCGATTCATCAGGGCTGCTCTGGAGTAGGGATGGGCAATGATTAAGCGCGATTAATCGTATCCAAAATAAAAGTTTGTGTTTACATAATATATGTGTGTGTAGTGTGTATTATTAATTTGTATATGTAAATACCCACACATGCATGTATACATTTAAGAAATATGTGCATGTATATATTTATTCACAATTAATATTATATATAAATATTTTATATATTAATAACACATTTTTCTTAAATATATACATCAAATATTTATATTTATATATAATATTAATATATAAAATATATACATGCACATATTTCTTAAATGTATACATGCATGTGTGGGTATTTATATGTACAAATTAGTTATACACACTACAAAAACGTATATTATGTACACACAAACTTTTATTTTGGATGCGATTAATCGTTGCCCATCCCTACTCTGAAGTTGAGGTTCAAACTCTCCAGTATCTGTACAATCCTCATGCTCATCCGTTATTCACACTGAAAGTAATGCGAGTAAAGTATCTGGAGTGAAAGGTTGTGTTCTGAATGTAATTAATTCAGCTAATGCTGTTTTCTGTCAGGTTTTTTGGGAATAATAGAGGTCAGTGCAGCCGTTCTTGTGCGTTTATAATGTGGGCTTGGTGCATATTTCTCTGAGACCGTATTTCTGAATTTAATGCGCTTTAGTTGTGACCACCAAACTGACTCTTTGATCTGAGGAGTCTTTTCCAAATCATCCGACTTAAGGTTTTCCTAAACTTGATCAAAACTACGGAAAATCCCATAGATTTCACTTTTCAAACATGAACTCTTGCTGAGTATTTAACCTACATCCACCTGATATCTATCCATCAACATGCAGAAACATGTTAGCAACGTGTTGAGTCATGCTAACAATGTATTAACATGTCAGCAATGCCTTTAATTTATGGTAGAAAATGTGTTAAATCATGTTTGAAACATGCTAGCAATGTGTTAAGTTGTGATAGCAAAGTTAAATCACTCTAGAATCATAACACGTTAACATTAGCAATGGTATTATGACGTGTTATGAATTATTGAATTAGAATCGTGTTATTATTCTAATTCATAACGTGTTAAGAATAAGAGTCATAACACGTTAACATTAGCAATGGTAATTTATGCTAGGAATGTTAGCAAAAATCATACTAGAAACATGCCTGTTACTTGCCGAATCCCATTAAAACATGTTAGCAACTTGATAAAACGTGCTAACATTGTGTTAAATGCTGGCAGCAGCGTCCTAGAACATGTTTATGAAATGATCAATAAAATGTCGAGTAAAATCTTAACGTTTCCGACTTTGTCAAGCCAATATCAAAGTTTAGAGGCATCTATTTTAAGGTACTATTTCTGGATTATTATTATACACAAAATTAAATGTTTTGGATCAAGTTTTTTTTTTTTTTTTCAGTAAATAAGTACAAA